CTCGGGCGGCGCAGCGGAACGTGGCACGAGATTAAAACGACGAACAATTGGGCAGGAAGCTGTGTTAGGGCAAGGTCCCCGACCGATGGCCAGCAGAACCTTAACGTGACCGGCTAGAACGAAGGCCTGCGGGGAATGAGAGTAGTAGGAGTAGTAGTAGTGGTGGTAGTAAGTAAGTAGTAAGTAGTAAGAGGGAGGGGAGGGAGGGGGGTGGGTGGGAGAGAGGGGGCAAATGATGAGCCGGCAAAAAATGAGAGGAGTAGGAGAGAAAAGAGAAGAAGGACTAGAAGGGCACTTGACTGAGGAAGGCAAGTCGTGGGACGGGCGGGCTGAGAAGTAAGAAAATCGGAGCAGAAGGGGGGAGGCAGAGAGAGGGAGGAGGAGGGGGGGGGCCGCGGTTTGAAGAATGGATGAGAGCGGGTAACAGTAGTAGTGATAAATAATAATAAAAAAAAAAGTGGTGAGTAGTAAAGTAGTAGTAGTAAAAGTAAGCCAGCCCGTCAGTTAACTGCAAGCTCTTTCTGCTTTTCCCTCCTCAACTAACACCAGATAGGTGAAAGCAGTAATAATAATAGTAGTAACCAGTCAACGCCGTCTCTTCTCGTCTAGTTCGCAGGAACCAGACTGTGGCACTGGTGTCTCGTCGTTTTGGAAACCTTGATGGATCGGGCGGGAAAATGTTAAGGGAGATGGGAACTTTGCTCTTAGTTGCGGGAGCTATTCGGACTAGTTTGGAGAAAGTTGGAGCGGGTCTGGATGAGAGACCCAAAAGAGTCTTTAGAAGAAAATGAAATAGTAAGAGAATGTATGTGTCGTTTTCTTCTAAGCAAGAAGGGAAAGAAAATCAGATATTGAGATCAGTTCGGATTTTGACGGTGGAAAAGGCCGATTATGGGATGGACCAGGAAAACCAAAGCTCTCAAGAGAGAGAGAGAGGAAGAGGAGAAGATTAGAAGAATAAGCACTACCACTTCTTGGTTGAAGATGTTCCCTCCTCACCTTGGGGTAAAAGGGTCAGAATGGAGTAAAAGAACAAGCAGTCTGTAAGTAATAGTACCGGGCGGCCCTGAAGCGCAAGGCAAAGGTACCGATGCTGCATAGCAAGCAAATAGAAAATGACGAGATCGAGTGACAGATGCAGTTTACCTAACGCCAAAATAGAATTAAATTAAGGGCCGGATGAGAAAATAATAATAAAAAAAAATAAATAAATAAAAAATAATGATAATTCTCATGTAAAGCAAAAATCGAGGTGAGACTCGGCGACTGAAGGACAATCCAGAAAGGGAAAAAAGAGAAACTGATTTTCTTTATTTTATTCTTTTTTTTATAATACTATTCCCGAAAGAAAAAAGCAAATAAATAAAATAAAATAGAATAAGAAGGTTAAGAACAAAGTGGTGCCGCCGCCAACTTCCATTTCATCCCTTCCTTCCTTCCTGCAGCCTCCCTGGTAGTAGTACATGTAATAGGAGTGGGAGAAAGGGCAATAAATCTATCGATGCTGATTCAACACTTGCATCCAAGATCTCTCTCTCAAATCATTTCGATCTTCTTACAATATGCCTATTGCCTGTTTGCTCTAATTCCATTGTCAAAGTAGATGATCATAGCATACATTTCATGGCTGGCTGTATTGAAATGAAGATAACTCTTTGGGTCTTGTCTCTTTCGGCCTCTCTCTCAGCCACATGAGACAACCACTTCTATACGAAAGCAAAAAATTCCTCGATGGGTATAAGAGACATGACAAGTAAGTACAGTCCTGTATGAAAGTAAGAGAGACATGAGCGATAAAAGGTCGCTTGGCGCTGCGTACTTGAACCGTACGTGGTCAGCAGTGGCTGCCAGCAATTGGACAGGAATTGAAGCCATCCCAACAGGATCAGCCACTAAAGACAACCATTTTCTCCGTGGCTCAAACATAGTACAGACTATTCAATTTTCCATATGACAGATAGCCTCAGAAGCGCACCGCAAGTTCGGGGACAAAATGAGAGGAAAGCCGGCTAACATAGGTCATAAGTAGAAGGGGAGGCCGCCCGGAAAGCAGCCAAGCATTAGAAAAGGAAGGAAAATAAAATAGTAAAAACAGATAATAGCATATCGAGTAAATGGAATAATAAAATTAAATTAAATTGACCAGAAAGGAAGGGGAGCAAATTAGTCATACTAAGACTGCGACTAACTAACCCAACTAAAATAAAAATAGTTAATACGACATCCTAAAGCGATTGAGCCCACCGCCACGAGGCGGCCATTTCGCTGAGGGTCCAGCTGCTCCTCATTCCGTGGGTTGCAGTTCTGCCACATTTTGAGGAGGCGACCGAAGAATGGTCGATTATTATCATCAGACTTTTCCATCATGCCTTCTATTTTCTTTTCGTGTCTCACAAACTCTGACTCTGACGGCGAAGGTCCAGCCCAGTCATATTATCAGTCGGCTAGCGATCAGTGTAAGTGTAAATGTCAGGTACCAAACTTGAAGTTGCTTAGTCCTCCACTAGCGATTTAGCGCATCGGATAGCTCTGCTGGAGTCGAGAAGAAGGATATCTGCTCCTCTTTCCCTTTTGTCGGCAGGATCAGAGCCACGTTTGACAGTTCACCGGCCATCGCAGGGAATTATTGGTCCTGATGGCGCCTGGTGTCCACCCTTCCACCCATGTCCGTGTATCAATATTGCAGCTTATCAACCGGTCGCTTCTCCCGGGCCCTGGCTCATGATACGTATACGATTAATATCTGGCAAATCACGCCGATGGGGATTATGTGGTGCGTACTTCTGTCGGTCGTTCATGATCGGACTTGGACATCTCCCGGAAACGAGCAGAGATCCGTCGTTCTTTTTTTGGATCCTGGATCGTATCCGCGAAGGAGAGCTCGAATGAGCCTTGTCCGGGTTGGGTAATCATCGTTGAACCTAACTGGGGCAAAGTTGACGCAGATCGGGACCGAGGTTGCCTCACACATCAGACGCCCCATTTATTTTGCTCCCTCCCAGTCCCGTGAGGTATCTCTGGAGTAAAATCTCCTTTTGAAAATACATGCATCCGACTATCGGGGAGAATCTTGGTAATATTAATGGTCCAGGACGCCTAAGAGCATTTCCTTATTCATACTGTAGGTGCAAGTCTTTTTTTTTTCTTTTTTTTCTTTCATGGGTTATATCTAAATATCTTCGGTTTGGGAGTACTACTAGTAGTACTACTATCCGGGTAGGATAACGAAGAAACAAGACTGTCATCGACCGCCCCACTGGTCAAGCAGGAGCGCCTAGGCAAGTGGGATCCATAACTTTCCCATCCAGCGGGAAAACTTTGTGTCTGCCTGTTGGTAACGACTCATAACTCATATCTACTGTAGTAGTAGTGAGACGCGATGGCCCAACAGGGACAAACTGCTTTAAACCTCCACCTGGTTGCTCTCTATCTACCCCTTTGGGCGCTAAGCTAAACCAGGTTGGGGAAAATCGTAGTTCAGACCAGCCGGGAAGTGGGGCCCAGAATGGATGGGGAGTCGATCCCAGCGCGGGTGGGCGAATCAGCATTGGGGCCGCTGGCATGGCAAATGCATCCTCCACGCCTGCAAAATGTCCCGTGGGCTGAAGAATTCCCGGCCTTACTTAGCACTCGAACCATGACGGGAGAACACGTTGTTGAACGCCTGTCCCAGGCAAATCCGCGGGGGGAAGGGGCCGCTATCATGCCAGGAATATTTAACACAGTACCAGGGGTCTTTTCGGAGCAATGAGTTGCAGCTGGGCCATTACATCACGAACCAGAGTCTCTGCATCATTGCTATTCAACGCCTGTCATCCCCATCGGTCGCATGGCCTTGTCATGGCTTACACCTTCAAAACGAAAATTGAAAAATATTCAGGTAGAATTTGAGCAACTGAGTATCTACGTTTTTCTTTTTCTTTCTTTTTTTTTTTTTTTTTTATATTATTATTATTTCAGAAGGTAAAAGGCGGTTACTCCAAATCCTTGGGCTAAACTGGATTTAAGCAGCCAGGTCTCTGACTTTTTGAATCGGATAAGCTTTGTCGTCAATTTTCATGGTTTTCACCTGACTCGCCTTTACTCAATAGTACCCGTCTACAACAGCATATGAATCTGCCCACCGGGAGTTCATCCTGCCAGACATTTTGAGCTTGCACTGATTGGGATTGCATATCCGTTCACATCCGATATTTGAGACTCAAGGTGAGAGTGGGACAGATGGCAATGGTGTACTGGATGGGCCATCCCACGAAAGACAGGCGGTGCATCCAGATCATCCGCCTGATTCTTTAAACAAAGCAGAGGCCATCCTCGGTCGGCAACGATCTCGATGCGAACTGCCTTCACGTGGCTGCACTGGACGATCGGCCTCAGGGGTCCCACGACCGGCGAACTGCCGTAAGCGGCGTAAGCGTACCGTATTGGGCTTCCAGCGAAGGCTCCATCCACCCACGGTACCATTCCGTTCGCGCCAGAGCAGTTGGCACTTAGCCTTTTTGCTTGCATCGTCCTCCCTTGCAGACATTGGTTCAGCTTGAGATCAGGGTGAGGGCGGCAAATGCGACAGATTTCATGCTCGCTTTATCCACAATCTATCTACAGGTGAGGAGGTTCTGAGCTCGAGTGGCCAGGTGCATGGGTCTGCTGTAGACCCCCTTTCAACAAAAGCCCCGCGGCGTGTTATGTCACTTTGACCTTCAAAGCCCATAGGAGGAAGCATTAGGACCGTCGTCCAAGCTCCGTAGCCACGATTACTAGTCTTACTACGTGGTGCACAAGCCTAAGTGGCTGCAGCTGTTGGTTGGGACATGGTAGCAGGGGGGAAATGGTTGTCGGTAATGGCCAACAATACCTGCCCGACATCTAGTTCACAATACCTACCACATGGCCTGATTCCAGCAAAACTATGCCATTGATAGATAGGAAACGAAAGATGTTTCGAAGCAAGGGCAGCAACAAATTCAATTTACAATAAGATACAAGAAGAACCGGATATGTCGTCACACTTCGGAGTAGTATCATATTCCTGTTCGCTCTCAGTGTCAGCGCGAAGTCTAAGTCTAACACCCAATAAGGCCTAACGCACAACTCATTTGGCTTTCCAGCGCCCGACACATGGCAACCATGGTGGAATGATCGCCGCTAAAGAGGGGGGAGGGGGGTTCTGGACATGCGACGGTTGAGACTGGTTCAGCCACACGACGCCAAGCGTCCATGGTGTCCCCAATACACCTCGGAGGACCTCATCCTGGAAAGCACCAGAAGGGGGCAGTCGGGTCATGAGTGGTGAAGTCAGACAGCATGATAACAGCCACTGCAACATGGGTCCTGACTGTCTGTAGCCAAAGAGCGACCACACCCATACACCAATTCTCTTAGATGCAGGGAGGCACCAATAATCAGACACTCAATACTTGGTTTTGCTCTTGGGGGATTGGGAAGGCCTGCACGCAGTATGTATTGCCCCCGCTCCGGTGGAATGTGACCAGCCGACATGCGCATCAAGGTACATGTGGACAATGTGCAGCATCCGCGAATAGCAGCAGCGCTAAAGCACTACGTAAGTAGCATGCACAGTTGTATCTCATGTATGATCTGCTTGGCCTTTTTCTTTCTTTCTTCCTGCCCTTGCCTGCCAAGTGCTGTATGTCGATCGCCCTCCGTGCGTTGTCTGATATGATCCCCTTTTAAGTAATCGCCATGGCCAGTGAGCTGGCTGGACGAGTCAGTCTCCCCGGAGTTGAGGTACTTTGCCAATTCCACCAGCCAGATTTATCCCTTCCTTGTCACCCACACCTTTCTGCAGCATGTCAAACTGCCTTCCACACATGGAACATGAAAGAATGTGGCGTCTATTTTGAGTGCCTGAAGCTTCACCGCAGACCTAGAATTGGTGTCACTCGAAACCCTTGCTGCTTCTGTCTTTATTTTGTGTTTTGTACTTGGACAATACCGCTGTAATGTATTTTTGGCCCTTTAGGGGTGTTTTATCTCCATGATCAACTGTACTCGACGGGATCTCCACCCCAAGAACCACCACGCTCGATACCAAGTCAATTAGCCGAGAATAAATATCGTCGCCTTTGCTCGCTAAGACGATGGAGGGGACAGGCACTAGTGGGCAATTAATCTGGTTGGCAGGGCGATTTTCAAGCCCCAAACATAACGGTCGATCTTATCACCGGAAGCTCCCACCCGCTCCCACCCATTCTGTTCGAAGGATGAAATGGAACCTGGCTGTAACGGACTATTTGATGACGGTACAAGAAATGGGTCTGGGGCCATCCATGACAGACACAAGCAGCTGTGAGGAGAACAACACTACGTACGATGATTACCATAACCTTCTTTTTCTCCTCCTTACTCTCAAAGTTCACAACCTCCCCAGATTGCCCCATTGCAGATCTGGCAACAGCATTTTGCCGTTAGCGTGACCTGGGAGCAATGAAGCTAGTATGTGATGTTTGAGCGCCAAGCTGGGGTGTATCAACCAATATCAAGGCCACCTCTCTGAATGTGTCAAACCCCAACGATGACGGCATGAACTTTCTTCCTACCCCCCTCGACACTCGCCCGATTGTTTCTGTAACCCAAAACAGAGCAGGGTTCAAGCCCGGGTGACACCAGCAACAACGGACTCTTCGATACTTTTCCCACTAAGACAGGCACCTTTGTCGCAGTGCCCATCAGAAGGCAGGCCAATGACGATCCATGCCGCCCAGCAGCTCCGCTTTTGCAGGACGACTAGAAGGCGCACTAAAACGGACGGCTTCAGTATCGAGCCAACCGTCAAGGGTTGGAGAGTGGAGGGCGCACGCGAGCGCCAAAGTTAGCACAACCGGAGTCGGAGGCGGAGTCGGAGTCGGATCTGGACCGGATGGGACTGGATGAATCCTGGCCCATGCAATGACCCGCTTCAGATGGTTTTGTTATGGTCGTTGCTATTATCATTACTATCATCATCGTTGTGATGACCGAAGGTTGTTAATTTGCACTCATTTTCTTGGTGTCTTTTAAATGTGATGTTATTTTTTTGATTTCTAAATTTTTTTCTTCCTGTTGGAGTCTCTCATCCCTCCATTAGTTCCGAAATGGCTTGCTCCCTCCGTCCCTTCCCCTTCTGACCAGTTGTCCCGTGGTTACAAGGACAGCCCAATATATTCATATCCATCATAAGCATTCCGGGCAAAAGACAAAAGGTCCTTGACTGAACTTTCTTTAACAGCGTCAAATCTGATCGGGGATTAACTGACTGACCATCTCAACGGCTGATGAGAGATGACACACAGCGCCGCCCAGAGTTTTGATCTGATTAGCCTATACTGACAGACAGTACGGTCCTCCAATTTTCCTCCAATCTCACTAGTACTGAGAACTATTGCTACTCGCTACCTGAGTAGGGACAAAGTACCTACTCTTTCTACCGGTCTAGCGCTCTTCAAGCCTGGCTAGATAGATATTCATCTACTACCAGTCTACCACTGCCGCTACTTGCCCCCGTCAGCCATATTCGACCCGCTTCCTGCAGCGTGTGCAGTGCTGGGCCGATGTGACAGGACAGGGGTCTTGTCTCCCCCATCGGGTGGAGCCGGACGCCCAACTAATCACCGGGCCTCGTTTAGGTAACACGAAGCCAAAAGAATCCTTGTATCACCGCCCCGGCCACGAGACTAATTCTAACCATCACTACACCATGCATCTCAATTCTGCTAGTTGACAGGGATGCATTGGGCCTGACCGGGGTTGCTCGTGCAGTATTGGGCCATGTGCTTTCATTTACCTGACACCGGGGGCCCCCTTTAGCACCTGCCTGTCCCGGTATAGATCCGGTGGTGTCCCCATCCATCACGGCCAGACTTGGGGCCTTGGACGCGGCCATCTCGTTCGCCTGGAGCATGGGCCATGAAGCGATCTTTCTTCACCCCGGCGCCAACTAATCTCGATGAAGAAGTTCAATCACAGTTCACCCTCCTTCTATCTATCTAGCCCCATGCCTGACGAAAGCCGCCCCTGCAGCTGCTGAATGATGTCCTCCCCGATTGCTGCCTGCCTCGACTAATCCTAGTACCCTCGGATGGATCCCACCTGCCGCTCGTGGGCTAGACCTTGGGAAAAGCTGCACCGTGCTCACTCGATTAGATTAATCCCCCGCTGACATCTCAATCATGATAACAGTAAGCCCGGACGGTTACATTGGCCTTGCTCGAAACCCGTGTCAGGCTGTCAGCACCTAGTGTTGAATATCTCTCCATGCAAGGCTCCTGCTTGCCCCGTCAAACACTTGCCCACTGGTAAGGTGGATTCCTGACAGCTCCCTGTCTATACCGTGGTCTACTATATGCACATCCTTTTGCCACATCTGGACTAGCTATTCTGGCATGGTTCAATGATAGAGTACTGAGTAGAGGCCTAGGCATGACGGTAAGCCAGTCCCAACCGCTGGATCCCAACATGCTCGGGCTGAACCTGCCCCATGGCACACAGCCTGGGCGTCCATGTCCCATGCAGATGACTGGACCCCACGGCTAAAGTGCGTCGTGCATACATTAATATATTAAAAGGCAACACACGCGCCTCAGCACTGGTGTCCCGCCGCCCATGAGGATTATGTCAGCTCAAACTAGCGTCGCGTGTCAGGGAGGGAGGGAAAGGACGAGGCAGAAGAATGCCGTGACTACGGACTTCTCCGATCAGCTTCGTCTCCATCTATCATCGAATTCCTTGGGTAAAAAGTAATTTATCCTCACCAATGACACATCTCACTCAATATTGGAAAAGGGTGATAACAGACCGAGGCATCCTTCGAGGGACACCAACTCCCTCCCTTTCTAAATGGACACCGGACAATGAACTAGCCGCCACGGCCGTCTTTTTGGGCCGCCGGCGCATCCTTCAGCACACTAAGCACAGGAATCGATCGATCCACAGGCCCAATAAGCTCTGCAGTCCGAGGCTAAGTCCCCAACTCGGTTTTCTCGCCTCAATAAGCATGGTTATTGAGCTTACTCTATCTTCGGAGCGACAAGCGGAACTTGTCCGGTTGCCTCATTTGCAAGCGAAGGGGTCGAGTTTGAACCACGCCCGCTGAACTTGATACAGCGCTGCCTGCAGTAGAGTATCCACGACTGAGAAGCCATGAGAAGGGCTGAGCTGGATCAAACCACCGATTTGCACCGCGCGGGCAAGAGAGACCAATTAGGACGAAATGTATCAATCATCGCCCGCGCAAAAGCAGGGGGTGGGCTTGACGCCCATGCATAGAGGGCACCTGTCACAATCTCCGACCCCAACTCCAGGCTGAGTGGGAGGGGCCGGCGACGCTTTCGAACGTCCAACGCACACCACACACACACTCAACCCCTCCCTCGCAAAAAGGAAGAAAAAAAAAAAAACACTGCAGGTTACATTTCCAATTGAACTAATCCTCCCGTCCACAGCCTCACAGAATGTGTCGACAAGTAATCCGATGCGTCCACTTTCACGCACAGAGAACCAGGTTCCTGACCTCCGAGTATACGCGGGCCAGAACCACGTGGGGTGGCCCCCAATGCTTCAGCCATTCTAATTCCTTCCCACCCCTTAGCCCTACGGAGCACGGCTTCCAGTGTCTTATTAAGGCAAGTAGAGAGTAGTTATTGCGGAAATGTCACTGATTGGCAGACTCAGCCTCGTCCATGAACCCCAAACCCGGACTCCGTTGAACATTCCGTTTCAAGCAAGAAAGCACGTCCCACCCCGCAATCCTGCGAGACGTTAACCCTTCCTCATCAACTAGGGAAATGTTGCCAAGATAGGACAAAGTATGTGAGCCCCAAAAGCCGAACTTTGACACCCAAGAAACCATGGGCCACGGTGAGGCTCTCCGGTGATAGGGTCTCAGCTCAGCTGGGATCCGCAGTTTGTGCCTCGAAATAAGGCACAGGCCGGATCTCTGAAACGCCTCCTGGTTACAGCAATCCACCAATCAGGTGTCAATGTAGCCCTACGGAGTCGTATTCAGCACATCCTTTTCAAAGCCCGATGCATGCTAAACTGAATAGTTGGGATTGAATGGGGAATCTTAAATTTGGGACCGTTCATCACAAATCTGCGGCATAAGTATAAGTCGGCTCGATTTTGAAAATTTTTCTCACGATTGATTGGTGGTCACCAAGTAATTAGTTATTCCCCAAGTGATAAACAAACTATGCAGTATGGCTTACAGTATGGCTCGCTCCAAGCAAATGCAAAGTCTAGATTCCAAAAAACCAATGCCCGGGCTTGGGAATCAGAAACAAAAAGAAAAAGAAGGTTTAAATAGCTCCTGTGACGGATGGCCAATCAATCTGCAGCGGACTTGATTCCGCGGGTTATTTGTTAGGAGGAAAAAGTATAAGTGTATAGAGGAATAAGCAAGTATACTTTAGTTGGAATAAATCAATCAGGGATAGAACGAATTTGGGGAAGTGGGAGTGGTCTCATGATCGTGACTTATTTGTGATGTGTATCATCAGTAGTTTTATGGGTTCTTTTGTGTATATTCTTGTGCAGGGAATATATACATACACTCCTTATACGAGGTTAAATTCTTATTATTTTGACTGTGTTTATTTCCTTTTGTCCAGACTTCATTAGATATAATATAGTAAATTGTAGATCGGAAAAGTAGCTACAATTGCAATGAAATACTCACAGACCCACACTATCAAGAAACCCCTTCTCAGCATCGCCATACGGTAGAATTATAGACTTACTTACTCTTTCTTACATTCACTATGAGGATAAAACACCAAAGATCCCTCCCTACTCAATTACTGTCCAGTACTATTATATCCAACCAGGTGACAGAAATAATAACCTGAAAACCAACAATCCACTACACCACCCTAATGTTCACATACTACAACATTCATTAAAGGTCGATCCATCTAGTATGTATTATATTAGATACAACTTGACAATAATACTGCCAGACATGAACTATCCATCCATCCCCTGCATCAATTTTCCCCCTCCCCCTTCTAGTTTCCAAAAATATCATCCACCGACACTACCTGTCTAACAATATATCAATAACTGGCAGTCTACTACTTTACTACTGTATACTAAATATATATACAACTAAGTATATACCCTGCGCAAATCACCGCAGGATCGGATCGTCCATTCTTACTACTACGTACTCCGTACCAACTACTACTTAATTACCCCCACATGCTCCTCTACCTACTTACCAAATATTTATAATTATATATGACGAGTCCGCAAAACAAATAAATATTGAGTGTGCGTGTGTGCACTACTCCACCAGGGAGATATAATGCCATTTCCAGGGTACTCTCGTAGAAAGTCATCGAATCATTCCTTTTTTTTTTTTTTTTTTTTTTTTCCAAAGTAAGTGGGGTGTCGGGCGTTCATTGTTCGTAAGTGTTGTTTTCGAAGGATCGATTGCTGGGGTGGCGGTGCGAAACAACTAGGTTTCCTTTCCTTTCCTTCCTTCCTTTTCCTACTTACTTACGAGGATGGTATATCGTACAGAGTATGTACTTAAGGTTTAGGGATTGATCCTGCGGTGTTTTGGGTATATTTCGTTGCTGCCTATCTACTACTTGTGGTGTCATTGTTGATTGGATTGAGTTCGGTGTGTGGGATGCGATGGGTGGCTGTGTGTTTCGGGGCGTTTACTGTAGGCAGAAAGGAGTAGATCCTATGTCTATTTTTGTGTGTAAATTTTGTTTGAGGTTCATCACGTCGCGTAGTATGTACAATAGGGGAAAATATACGACATTTTTCCTGTTTTGGGGATGTTTCGTTCATTCATCCTCCTCTTCTTCAACGTCATCATCATCCACATCTTCATCATCTTCATCTTCGTCATCGTTATCCTCAAACTCCACCCCCAGGTTACCCGTGATATCCCAACGGTCGCCCTTGGCAGCCTCACTGACATACTTGACGAACTTCAGGGTGCCGCTGTCCCGCAACACAATGCTGAGTCGGTTCCATCCGGCGGCAGTGCTGAAGAGAATGCCGTCATCGTCATCGTCGGCGCCTGCGGACCGGTAGATCGCTGCATCGCCCTCATCCTCGTCGTCGCCGGCCATGTAGATCTCGTATCCACCCACCGAAGGCTCCTCGGCGTCGCCGTTCGCGACGGCTCCTTCATCCTTCTTCTTCTTCTTCGGCTTGACCGCCTTCTTCTGCTGCTCCTCCGATGAGCCCTCGCCCATCTCCTGATCCTGATCCTGATCCTGATCCTGATCCTCCTCCTCCTCGTCGTCGTCCTCCTTCTCCCAGCCCGGAGTGGGCGTCAAGCAAAGCGACAGCTCCAAACGGGGCTGTTCTCCATCATAGCCACTGGCCAGGGTGTAATCCTGGCCTCTGCGGAAGCGACGCGCCAGGTAGTCGTAGCTGGTAATACGGTCCGCACCGGTGATAAGCGCGAGCCACTTGCGGAATGCCCGGGAAGGGAAAAGGTCGTCGAGGAGTTCCTGAATCGGAGATTTCTGGTCCTGGGTCGCGGTGCCATGTTGCTGGAACAGGTAGCGCTGCTTGTGGGGAGGACGGGCGACCGTCCATCCGGTCTCGGCGAGAATCTCGTCGGAGGAACTGGGCAGGCCCTTCTTCTCCTGCTCTTCAATGTAGGTCCGAACACGAGTCGCAAACTTCTCCGAAAGGAATCGTTCCAGACTGAGACACGACTCGTTGGAGAAGGTCTCGGACATTTCCTCGGCGATGTCGGGGGTGAGGTAGGATGGGGCGATGTATTGGATCAGGAAGGCGAGGTCGGATTCTGTGAATTCGGGCGTGGGCTCCTCTTCCACCTTTGCCTTGCCCTTGCCTTTACCTCCTTCCTCGGGTTGTTGCTCGTCCTCGTTCTCGCAGTCGACGGTCTTGGGCTGGGGAAGGTCGTAGATGTCGCCGCGGCCCTGGAGCTGGGCCAGACTACTGCGCTCAGCGAGCTTCTCTTCCAGACCGGCTTCGTAGCCATCTTCGCCTTCCTGTGGGATGTGGAACCAGCCGCTGATGGCCATGCGCACGCGCTTCTTGGACTTGTCTTCGTTGTCTTTCGGGTGGTAGACTTCTTCGACGTCGTGGAAACTCTCTCCAGGCTGGACGGTGAAGAAGCTGAGCTGGTTAAAGGCGGGAGGGATGCTTAGGGAGTAGTCGGGGCTGGGGATCAGGACGTCGTCGCCGTTGGCATCCTTGTTGGTCGTCGTGGGGTACAGACGCAGTGCGCCACCCCATTCGGCCTGCCAGGGTTGGTCGGGGTCGGTGAGGTAGAGAATGTAGGACAGACGTCTGCTTCCGATGACATCGTCGTGGCAGAGCAAGTGGCAGCCCTCGTTGTAGACGTTGATGGCCATGTCGGTTTTTTGTCCGCTCAGCTTGCCAGAGCCGGTGACCTTCGAGAGGAATTCACGGAAGCGGGCAGAGTACATGGCGTCGCGCAGCTTGAGGATGGAGGGCAATTTCGCAAGAGAGGCATCGTCGAGACCGTCCAGGTTGGCCAGGTCGCCGGATTGGAAGATTTTGTAGATGTCGGTTTCCTTCTCGGTGAACTGCACCTGGGCCTGGATTTCGTCGCGGACGGCGCGCAAGAGGGAGGGCTCGATGAGGGGGTGAATGACACCATGCTTGTACCTTTGAACTTGGGATTAGCTTCGCTCAGAGTATTTGCCAGCCAGAATGTATGATGGGCAGCATACGGAGCAGACTGGGCATATTGCTCGGTATAGTCCTTCAGGACCGACGGCTCGAACAAGCCGTCACGGAAGCGCGCAGCGGCTTCTTCGCTCGACAAAGCGCGCTTCTTGGACTCGGGCTGGTCTTTACCGCCGAGGGATTCTCTTCCATCAGTCTTGCGCTTCATTGTGAGAAAAAGGGAAAGGAATGCGAGATCGAATAGACTCTGGAGAGGGTTCAATCTTTAACGGAATGCGAATTTTGCCTTTAATTTTTCGAATAAATTTGGCGGTGAAAAATCTGCAGGCATCAATCAGGCCACCAGATCAGGCCATATGGTTTCCTAAAATAGACACATTCACTAGAATGGATTCACGTAACTGTTTATTTATTTACTTCTTATTGTCTGCTACTCAATAAGAATTCACTGGTTATTCATTGCGTACTTTACAAGAATAAATGATGCCAATGAGTGTATTGTGGAGATGCAACTTTCCAACCAACTGCCATCAGCATGCATTTCCCAGCCACCAACAAGCAAAGTGACTGGGGTTGATTGACTCCGCACTGGAGCCCCGATAATCGCCTTCGATAAGCGCATCCAGCACCTTCCATCGCCCTTCTGACTCAGGCATGGCCTCGTCCAACATGAACTGTCATTGACTGTCTCATACGAGCAGTATTCTTGACTTGTCACTTTCATCAGACTTGCTTCTTGACCGTCACCGCTATTACCATCCCCTAAACCTCTCAGTTGCAGGCACAGACGTCATTGCCGTCGATCATCGCATCGATCCAGCCAGCAACCCGTTGGATCAGGTTATCCTTCTGTTCCTACCACGTATCATTCCTCAACGACCCCTCCGGTTCCTGCTCTCTTCAACTTTGCGCAATGCAGCCTTCGCAGGAGAACCAAAGCAACCAGCCTGATCGGCCAGGTACTCCGCCGCGCCCGCCTTACTCGCCCGTGACTCCTGTCTTTGCCCATCTTGTGCCTGTCACGAACGCCGCCGCGGGGAACGGCGCTCCTCACCCTATTGTGCCTCCTGCTGCGTCGCCTTCGCCAACAACAAGAGTACCCCCTTATGGTTCATCAGCGGACTTTACCCCGCCGGCTGCAGCCCCCGTGTTCGCGCCCGAGCCGGCCGCCGTCCCGATCTCGGAGAGCGAGAACCCAGATGCCATTGCTCTGCGATCCGCGATCTCTATTCTTCAGCTCCAGAAGCAGCAAAGCGTGCGGGATATTCAGACTCTAGAAAAGTTCAAGAAGGCCGCATCAGAGGATCCAGAAGGGTTCGCCCGCGAACTGGCAGCGGGAAATCTGTCGGCGAAGGATACAGGGGCTTTCATCAACTTCACTCATGACAAAGACTCGGAGGACGAGGATGTAGAGAGTCCGAAGAGAGGCGTTTATGCTGGGCTAGGGACCCTGCCCACGCCGCAGAATGTTGTCCGCATGCCTCCCATCAACTGGAACAAGTACCAGATCGTGGGCGAACCGTTGGATAAGATGCACGAGGAGCAGCGGAGGCGGCCATCTTCTGGCGAACCCAGACGCGACGATAGTGCTCAAAGAGCACCGGAGCATGTATTAGCTTCGCCGTATCGACCTCTAGTAGACAAGCTAGAGAGTCCGGGAAAGGCCAAGGGCACCAACAGAAACAAGAAGACTTGATAATCAGTGATTATTGGAAAAGCTAGTTACAAGAACCGTCCAGTGAACCGTCAAGCTTTGGTACATGAGTGGACATTCATCTTACGATGTAATTTAAAGAGACAGACTCAGAGGGTACGTCAGCCGCCTACTGACATGTGCCGGCAAAACTGACGGTGTGACAGGGAATAGCTACCACAGCAGAATCTCATGCGCAAACACCTCAGGTTCGCCCATCGCCTTTCGAAGTCTGTCATGAGCTGCCAAGATTCTGTCCCAAGGGGTAGCCTCATTTTCCTGGTTTTCCTTCCCATCATCCATCACTTGCGCGGACTCCTTGGCCGCCTTCTGCAGACCAAGTTTTCTCTGGTACATGTTATGGAGCGCCTTCTTTCTCAGATTTTCACGTCCATAGTGCCTCACGATCACATTAGCACGCATGAATCTGCTCATCTCATGGCTCTTCAACCACGCCTGTGTCTGGGGACAGTGGCCCTTGGTTTTCCAGAGGATACTTGCGATGACGTCGTAAGAAAGAGGAGGGTTCTTGTCAGTGATTCCATTTGGAGGAAACTCCGAGGATGCAGCTTCTTGGTCCACCTACTGCCCGTCAATGATTCGCCCACCACAACCGATTTCACATCCAGGTCCTATCTTACCTCATCACGTTGCCAAACCTCGATCACCTCTGGATAGCTCGGCAGCGGCCCGAACGGCCTGGAGAGCTGTTGTTCTCTCACGGTCCAGTAGTTCTTCCACAGTGCCTGTCCCTGCCGTTCCAGCCACTCATCTTTTTCTTTGCGTCTCTTCTCAATGTAAGCGGCCATGGCGGGATCGACTTTGGAAATGCTATCAGCCGTGATGGGTCCGCCCCCAGGGACGCTGTCAGCAGTAGTGGGCTCGACTTTAGGCACGCTGTCAGAAATACCATGATCGACCTCAGGCACACTGCCAACATCATCAGTGCTGGGATTCAGTTCATCATCCGCCTTGCGTTTTCTGCTCTCCATGTTGAAATCAAGCTGTATCTAATATAAAGATTTAGCAAACTTTGTAATGAAAACCGAAGATAAAGATAAGTTAGAATACCTAGTACACTTGTAGATACTATGAAGTCAACAACGAGACAATAACTAAACGATGTAGTGAGCGTGATTGCACGCCAAACCGGCCATTAAAAATCTTGTATAAGTCTCACTTCGCGAGGGCAAGGCCCCATCCCAGCGCGGTGAATTGAAGTTTCACCAAAGAAGGTAAGCAAGCGAGCAAGCGAGCCCATCATGCTGTGTTTATGGAACAAAAGTGCGTGAAGTGAGTGTGGCGGAGTATGCATCTAGTTCACCTTGAGCTCACTGTGTTGTGATATGTCACTGAGAATGAGGTTAGGGAATGGAGTTTGGTGTATGCAGTGGGCTGTCTTGGAGTAGATAGAATGTTAGAGAATGTTACAAGAAGACTACGAGGTGAGTACTATTTGTATTAGGTATTCTCTCTTTAAATATAGGTTGGTGGAGATAGTATAGGAAGTCGAAGTGATTGATGTGAAACAGCTATGAAGGAATTAAAGGGACTTTGCCATTCTCTCTCTCTCTCTCACGAGTATCTGAAGTCCCTGGTAATATAAGTTCATCACTTATAGTAGTATTTTCTTAGCTGTTGCCTTTCTAGGGAGCATGTCTCACATATAGTATTTCTCATCGGCTGTGGTCAGCCTTGTAGATTCAATATATGTCAGCCAGGGACCCTGACAAGGAGTAACTCCAGTCTCTATTAAAAGTTACTACCACCATTCCCATCACCCCATGTTCTATATAGAGCCTTAGTATAAATCATCTATAAATCTAGTACGCCACATGCAATAATACATCACAACTTCGCCCCCTTCCTCCCCTCCCAAACCTTCACACTCTTCCTCCCAACATCCTCCATCTCGCCCTTCCTCTCCTCCACCCTCTCCCTCCACTCCAAATTCCCCGAATGATCATCCACCACCCCCAACAACCTCCGATACATCTCCTCCTTCATCACCCCATAAATCTCCGTCTTGGGCATCAACACCAACTTCCTCTCCTTCACGAACTTCACCGTCTCCTCCACACCTCCCAGACCATCCACAATCCCCACCCGCAGCGCCTCTGGCCCAGGAAACCTCTTCGCCTCGAGCACAACATCGCGACACACATTCGGCGTCAACTTCTCCCGGAAGACATGCATCATGGGCGCTTGCAACGGAACCCCGAATATGAGCTCGTTGATGCACAGAAAACCCTTACTCGGGTTCTGGATCCGGTAGTCGTGGTACATGGCGAGCATGAAGCCGCCGGCGAAGGCGTGGCCGTTTAGGAGGGAGATGGTGGGCATGGGGTAGCTGTATACCACATATAGATATATATTAGTACGGTTCATGTTTGTTAGTGGGTAAAATCAAAGAACACACGTTAACAGTCGACGGAATAACTTCCACAGCCATTTATCCAGAAACCCCTCTGTGGATTGCGCAAGTTCGAGATCTAGTCCATTGCTGTAGAATTTGGGAATCCCGCTGGTGGTGATTAACACACCCTTTTGGTAGCGGTGTTCGATGATGTCGAGGGCCAAGAGGAAGGTGTCGATGAAGGTCGGGGTGAGGCGGTTATCTGGGGGCGAGGTGAAGGTGAGGAGGTAGATTGTTGGTTGATCGGGGGATGGGTTGGTGCAGGTGATGGAGCCGGAGGTGGAAGGGATGGGGAGGGTGAAGAGCGGAGATGTGGTGGTGGACATGGTGGTGGTACAGTGGGAGAGGGTTGTTGCTTGTTACTTGTTGGTGACTGTGTACGTGTGTGACATGAAGCGGGGATGGTAGAGAAGAAGATGGTGGTCTTGTCTTGTCTTGTATACTTTTGAGGGTTGGATGTGATCAGTAATCGTTAAATTGTATTGTTTGCTAAATCCGGGGAAAATTAGAACAAGGAGTGAGTGATTCCCGCGGTATCACATGCGCTTGAAGTATGTTCCCGATTGGGTTTATTGCATGTGGGTTATGTTCTTGTCAAGATTGTATACTTATGCTGAGGGAGTATGTGTATATATTTGCTTTTTTTGGGTAGCTCTCATCTGACCGTGATGATGATCCCATGTAAGTAGTCGTTAGTCATAGTAGTTAAATTCTAACGGCGTAAGCTCCATTCATCACAGCTGCATCCGTCCTCCCCGCATACCCTCATCACCTATCCATTGACCAGCTACTATGAAGCGTCTTTTTCGCTGTTTACCAGATTTAACATCATTTATCCTACTAACCGCTTCTATTATATGATAACAGCTCTATTGATTAATCCCGCAGTTCTATAATGTACCCTTCAAACCAGCCAGATGGGAATATGACAGCTAACGGCCAAGCAACAGACCACTGGCAGATCCCTCAGCAGAACGATCCAAATGTCAAATAACCTTCAGCGCAGAACAATACCACTAACTCCATAGAATAGAGCACTCCAGACAATCTCTACAACAAATCTACACTATCTACTCAAGAACCAACTATTCTTCACACCTCCAAAATTGACATCACATCATCACTGACGTCATCCCCTCACAGCTCCCTTATTCTTATGGTAACCATCACCACCATCACCACATCCCAACTCCTTCACCTCAACCACCTACACTCAGACAACAACATCCATAAACCCCAATCCATTATTCAATACCAATCTACAACCCCCAAACCAACCAACCATGCAATCCCACCACCAACAACAACCCCCCCAACCCCCCAAACAAGCCGCCTACAACCAACCCACCAACCCCGTAACCCACACACCCTCCGAGCAACGCACTTCCCAATCCTCATCCCAGAATCCATCGCAATACGACCACCTCCCCCGGCACCGCGGCGACGCCCTGTCCCCCATAACCCGCAACGCAGGCTCCCAGCCCTCCAACTCCAACTCCAAATCCAGCAAACACCAAGAATCCATGCGCAACGCCGCCTCCACCCTCGACACCGAGTACGGAGTCGAGCAGCAGCCCGCAGAAGGGGACATCGCGCGGGCCGTGCAGGGCAAGTCGGCGGATGCGCGGGCCAGAGCACAAGCGGGGGCGCATGCGGGCGCGGTAGGCAGTGCTGAGGGGCCGGGGGCGCCGGGGTACGAGAAGGGCGAGATGGCGGATTTGGATCAGAAGAGGGAGATGCATGATAGGATGTTGGGGGATCGGGTGGGACAGAGTCCGGCGGAGCCGGAGGAGGTGAGGAGTAGGAAGTTGAGGCAGGATGAGGAGGTGGATGTGGTGGGGGCGGCGAGTAGGGTGTCTAAGGGGAGGGTTGTTTGATTGTGTTATTATTATTTAGTGTGGTATTTGGTAGATTATAGGGAGGGAATAGGATAGGATAGGATAGGATGTATAGGTTAATGGTATGGAATGGAATGGTATGTAATGGGGTATCAGAAATCGATCAATAGCTATTAGCGTACAGACATATAGGTAAGGTGTTTGATTAACCATCAGCATCATCGCCCTCGCCGATAGACACCTTCTTCAGTGATAGATCTTGTTTCAGATCGTGGATGCGCTTGGCCAGTTTACCCTTCAGAATGGCGTTCTGCATCTTCTCCCACTTCGCCGTCTCGGCGCGGATCAGTGCCTCCAGTTCGGCAATTTCCTCGCGTTGCTGCTGCATCTGCCGCTGTTGCTCGAGTTGCTCATCATCCAGCTCGTCTTCCGGTTCGTCGCCATCGTCGGACCCGTCACTCTCATCACCGGATGATTCTGGCGCTGGCGTGGACGGCTTCGTTGCCATCGGTGTGCCTGCTTGGTATACCCCAGCATCTGATGGTGGCTCGGCTCCAGGTGCCGCCGCCGCAGCTCCTGCCTCGCCTTCGTCGCCGGCAGCCAAGGCAGCCTCCATCTCAGCAGCGAGAGTGTCTTCGAAATCATCGAACAGACCGCCGTCTTCCATGCCTTCTTCCATCTCACCCTCGGCATCCTGCTCATCATCGTATTCGTCTTCGTAGTCGTAATCTCCACTCTGAACCAGTCCCTCAGCCCGGTTCAATGCTGTCTTATCAACCAGCTCATACCGGATAGGTGCCACGGCAGCCTCATCTTGGGCGATCAGATCCTCGACGGCCTTCTCGACCTGCTCGATAGTCCGCGTGCTGATTCGTTCCCGGAAACGGCGCTTTCTCACCCATCGCAATGGCGGCGTGAGACCGTGTGGGTATTGCAGCGTCTTGTCATCTGGGTGTAGAATGTCCGAAGGGAGTGGGTAGTCCATGGCCTCTTGTTCATTGGCAACCGGGCCAAGGATCAGAAGCATCTGGCAGATATCTGCAGATTTGTACCACCCACGCCGGTCCCAACTCTTCATACCTTCGATGATACATGGTAAGTCGACCAGCGCTGCGGCGTATTGATGATCGCGGATCTTGAAGATGGCGCGTCGTCCCTCACGGGTGAGTGGTTTGAAAGAAATCTCCGAACGGTCGAACCGGCGTTCAGCAATGGCGCGTTGTAGATATTCGCAATCCTCTCCGGGCAACATGCGCAGAATGAATTGTTCTTCGATCGAGGGGTCGATTTCCGTGTCGGATGCTTCTGAGTCGTAGCCAACGCCCACCGGTCGGTTGGGGACCAGCCCCTTGTTCTTGATACGGAGCGACTGGACCCCGGGCTTCTTCGATGGGTTTAATTTCAGGCGTTTGGGTCCAGAGGGTTGGGCTGTCGCGACCGTGGTGGATGGTTCCTGTAACGCGGGTCCCTCTGCTGGGCGCTTCTTCGATGTCTTCTTCTTTTTCTTGAGTTTGTCATCCTCGGGCGGCGCTTCTGGTGCCGGTCTACGGGCGATCTTGAGCGTGAGTTTGCGTTGAGGGGTCTCTGTTGGCGGAGGAGGTGCAGCAGGTTGTCTCTGGGGTGTTTCCTCGGGCGCCTTCTTTTTCCCGAAGGTGAGCTTGAGGGATGGACGAGGTGTGTCCGACATGGCGAGAGGTGACCACCAAGTCGGTGGAGATGCGATGTAGAAGTGAGCGAAATAAGGTCAAAGCAGAGATGGTAGGAGGCTGGCAGATGGATGGGGTGAAGTGAAGCTTGCTGTGTTACAGCGGAGACGAAGACTCGAGGGCGGAGCCAGAAGGCGGAAGACCCCGAAAAGGCAGTAAGAGGCCCATCCATTCAGCCATTGATCCTCTCTTTGCTTCCTATTCATCTCCTAACACTCGACCTCAACAATAGCGACACATTGAGCCGCTCATATTCTTAGCTATATAATCCTCGTCTGCGAGCTGGAAAGCTCTTCTCGACGTCTCTATCGTTGCTCTTCATCACAACCCATACGCCAACATGTCTGGCTCCAATCTACACAACGCTCTTCTCCGCCCGCCAATCATCCAGATCCTGCGCGCAGCAGGCTTCCATGCGACGCGACCGTCCGTTTTAGACACTCTCGCTGACCTTACCGCCCAATACATTATGATCCTTGCTTCATCTACGACTGCCCATGCTGCAAACGCTCATCCGCATGACCCTGTTCCGGTCCTCGAAGATATCTACCAAGCGCTGCAAGACGCAGGCGCGCTACGACCCCAGCTGCGAGAATGGGAGGAGGACTGGCAGGGAGAAGAAGACATGCGAGGCCTGGAAGGCTTTTTGTCGTGGTTCACTGGGCCGGCCAACCGGGAGATTCGACGAATAGCTGGATTCGTGCCCAGTGAGGGCGATATGGTCGATGCGGACGCTCTCGAGAAAGAAGACTTTTTGACGGCATTGAAGAAGAAACACAGCAAAACCGGCGAAGAGTCGAGATATGCGGGAACCGTGCTCGGAAAGAGTGCCGACGAGCATCCTATCATCATCGAGGGTGGCGCGCCCAGTCTCCAGGACTGGGGCTCACAGATGCGGTCGCGGGCGCCGTACATGGCTGACAGCGATTCGTCTGGTGTCAGTAGTGCGCCGAGCAACCTGTCCGATGGCGAAGGAATGGATGTGTGATGAGACGCAGACAGGTCGTTCGAAAGCGAGACCACTTCACAATACACTGCAATAAGGCTGTCGGTTGTCTGCAGCCCGACAAGCCAGACTCAAGACGCCTAGCTGCAACACAACGCCTACACCGTATTTGGCATTGGGACAGCTGGCCGGCCCAGCTTGATCACAATGACCAGCAGATCGTCCACCAGCTTGGGAGTATCAGCATATCACTTGCTATTACTACAGACGGGTTGTCACAATTTAGGGCCAGAGCAGGCTGGATTTATCATTATCCACCGAGTCAGAAAACAGCATCTACGCCTTGAAACATGTGCGAAGAAGGCAATCGGGACGAATGAGGGATGGAAAGCCATCCTGCAAGCGAAATTATGTATCTACAGCATAACAGCGTATAAGCCACATGAGTTTATGAGTTCGGCCAATAGGCCCGAATTGACCCCGACGTGCTTTTCCCGTAGGTTCCAATGCAAACGAGCTTCTTGGCTGCCGCGGAGATCTTCACCTCCTCCAACTTACCTCCAGCTCTCCCCTTCTTACTCCACTCCAGCTTCAACACCCCAATCACCACCACCATCACCATGGTCTACGCCTTCACACTGCCCTCCACCTCCCACCTTTCCTTCCAGACCTTCCTTACCTCCAGCACCCACCCTTCTCTCCCTCAAGCAGCCACCACCGCCCGCCATGCTCTCCGACAAGCTCTCAAAGCACACAAGCGTTTACCCCGCGGTCCGCAACAAGACGCCCACCTGCAGACTCTCCTCACCACCATAACCAGCTACCTCCCTTACCTCCTCGCTCTCTCCAACGGCCTTAGCAGCAAGCCCGGCGACACATCTCCTACCGAAGAAATCGAAATCACCCTCCGCACCGAGATCACATCCGCCTGGCGCCCGACCCTCACCAACCCCACCACCACGCTCTCCCTCAAACAGCGGCCCACCACCACCCGCATCCAAGGACAGGGTCTCGACTTTGAAATAGCCTTTGTCCTCTCCACCCTCAGCTATGTGCTCAACTCCCTCGCCCGTATCGGCGTCACCCGCACCCTCTACGCATCCACGACCCCGACTCCCGAACAGCGCACCGCCGCCATCCAGACAGCCACCAAACACCTCCTCCAAGCCAGCGCCGTACACTCACTCCTCGCTTCCTCGCCATCCTTCGCAACCGCAGCCCACTCCATCTGCAATAGCAACAAAAATGGAACCTCTACCCTCCCGGACCTCGACCCCGCCACGCAGGCGGCCCTCTCCTGTCTCGCCCTCGCGGAAGCAACCCTCCTCGCTGTGTTGAAGGACGATTCCTACGTCGCCGCCTGTATTCAGGCGCGCAATCCCAATGACAAGGACTGGATGGTCCGCGCGCCGGAGATCCCCAAGGTCCGCGCGCACCTCTTCGCTAGATTATGTATTCGAGCTGCGGAGTACGCGGAGCAAGCTGCTGCGGGGCTGGGATCTGTCCGGTCAGAGGGGCGGATGGGGATTGATGATGATCTGCTAGGGTATACACGGGTGCTGGGACGGGTTGCGCGGGCGAGAGCCTGCCGCTTCTTCGGGGTGGATGCGGAGTTGTCCGGGAAGATCGGGGAGGGTATTGCATGGTTGAGAGCAGCGAAGGGAGCATTGGGGGCCAGGGGAGCTGGGACAGGTGGAGCGGAAGCGAAAGAGACGAGTACGAAGAGCCGGACCGGGCTGTCGAGGCTGAAGCAGGGTTGGATGGAGCGGCGGGAGGAGAGACGGATGGAGAAGGATGCGGGCAGTCGGGATCGGACGGAGAAGGGCGAGCTAGGACCGGGGGATAACGCAGGTCGGGAGGAGGAGAGTCGAGTGATTGAGATGCTGGAGACGAAGTGGGTGCGAATGAATGATACGGTGGGTGATATCCACGTCATTGGTTTGGAATGATGTTGCTAACTGCTGAGCACAGATTAATACCCAGCTGATCCCACCTTCTGCGGACCTGCTAGCAAACTTGCCCTCCGGTCGAGATATTCATTCCGCGCCAGCGCCGTACAAGATCCCCTCGCTGGATGAGGAGCAGTTGGTGCGCATGCGTGCGCCGCCGGCGGAGGACGACTTTGGACCAGGGAGTGATGTCGAGGATAGTGATGAAGAGGCGGCCAGTGTAGCGCGTGTGTATACGCCGGGAACAGTACCGGAGCGGAGTGACAGTGCCTATTATTGATCTTGAGCTTGTATACAAATACCATATCATATGGCCTGCCTATGCACATATAGGTTCTACTCCGCATACGTAGTACCAATAAGACACAGCAATCCAGACACAGCAACCCACTCGCACCTAACAACCTCATAAACCAAGAGAAAGAGCCATACCCACCCCATCTCAAACCATATCATACAATCACAACTCCCCAAACCCAAACCCAAACCCAAACCCAGAGAAAAAAAAAGTATGAAAATAAAACACAATGCATATATTGTATATCACATAACATAACACAGAAACCAATCCAATTCAACCCATCCCATCCTCAACCCTCAACCCTCATCTAAGCAGACTTATTTCCCTCCCCAGCAAAGTAATTCTTCTCCTGGAACAAGTAACCCTTAATCTTGCGCTCACCCAGCAACTCAAAGTACTTTTCTACATCCCCAGAAACAAACCCACATTAGCAAATCCCCAACACCATCCCTCATCCTTTTCAGAAAGGAAAGAAGGAATAGAAAAAAGGTATAAACTCACCCCTCAAAACCCCACACTTCTCCAAATGATTCACACCCTCACGAGCATAACATTTTCCCAATTCCTCTCCGACCAGACGAGACATCATACTGCGGACCCATTGTTCACGGATAATGGCGTCGCGGGCGTTGTGGACAGCGACGTTGTCTTCGAAGTCGACGCCCTCGTAGGTGGGCGGCACCGTGGGCTTTTTGGCCAGGAAGGAGGCGGATTCCGGGGTGGGCATTTTGCAAATCTCTTCTTTTTGTTTGGAGCTTTCTCGGATTCCGGGGTGTAGGTGGGTGGGAGGGAGAGAGGTGTTGTAGTAGTATCTTGAACTAACTGCCTGGTCGAGTTCGATTCCGGAGGTCGCGAGAGTAACAATTGCGGTGGTTTGATTGGTTGGGGGGTGTGGGCGGTCGGATGTTGCTGCGCTGGTCACGTGCGTTGATAATTATTAGTAAGCAGGTTGTGAGTGGGTGGTTGTGCACTGCCATTACGGTTGTATACTTGTTTGTTAGGGATTATAATTCAGTGAGAGTACAGTAAAAGGTCATAGATGAGCTACTAAGTCTAGATAACTATCGCTAACACCGAACGCCTCGCCAAGTACACAAATCAGCAAACATCACACCTATCCATACGCCGTCACAGGTCATTATTAGTCCGCATTTTACATGGTCATTGCTCAGACCAGTCATCATCTGCAGTAAACATAAAGCAAATGTCGTATCCAGCAACGGATTATTCAACTTGCTGCTCCTCGCCAGGGAAAAGCTTCTCGTAAAGGCCGTTCAACTTGTCCTTCATCCGCTCCCACCATGTCAGGTTCAGCTGCTTGCTGATCTCGCGGTACTGGTACATCTCGGCCCAGCAGTCGCGTCCATACTGGCACCCGGCCATGTTGACCAGGAAGTCTCTTTCATCTTCCTGGTAGTGGACATTCGGGTCAATCTCGTCTCCACATGCCCCCTGGGGGTACGAGTTGATATATCGCTGGGGAAGGAAGCCAACGTGGCTGCGAACCCACGGCTGCGTCGCATACAGATATTCCATCGCATCCTGCTCCTTGTGCTCCCACTCCATATGTTTCTGTTCATACATGACTGGGTCCCACCACGCGTCCAGCAGGCGGTCGGCCCAAAGGGAGCGCCGAATGAAGAAAGAGCCGAGGTTGAAGCCCCCACAGTCCTGCGACAAGAGCATATGTACCGATGATGGATCCCCGTCTCCGTTTGGCGAACGAGACACCTCGTCCAGGTAAGCGTCGTCCGGCGGATGGCTGATATTCAACGGGTTGTAGACATTGATGTCCCGGTAGATAATTTCATCCAAGCGGTCGAATATATGGTCCTGTAACGAGTAAGAGTATTCCATAATCCAAGTGCTGAGGTCCAACCACCAAAACCTGCACATGTCAGTGACGCTCATCAAACAAATATTGCAAACATACCATTCAGCATCAGGATGCTTTCGCATCGTCTCCCGGATGAGGTCCACCTTCTCCCAGCTCTCGCGCCATTCGTGCGAATACCGCTTCTTCGCCAACATGTTGACGGTTTCCAATTCGTAGCCCCATCGCTCAACATAATTCTTCTTATTCCACACGCTGTTGCGCTCGATCGCCCATTCGCGCGCACCCTTCCACTCCATCACGCCGCCCTCTATGTTAGATTCTAGTATGATCACGAACTTGTGCCCACCGCCTAGCGGAGAGCGTCGATACTTTTGAAGAAGAGCTGCGATTGATTAGCCACCTGCAGGCTTCGTTCTCCACGTATGCGATTCACTTACACGTTCCGAAAAACATATAGCCCAGCAAAAGAAAGATCAGCGCCACGAGAAAGCGCGATCGTCTGCGCCGCAGAACTGACCTGCCAAATCCCAAGCGCCAGCCCGTAGCTGGGGAGAGAGGCCGCCCCCGGCCAAACTCATCCTTATCGACATAGCCATTCGGAGACCCCGAGCCTAGACGAAAGCGCGGCAGAGTGGCAGAGAGCTGGCGTCTTGAGCGCGAGAAGAACCCGCTGTTCTTCGTCGAGAAAGACGGGTAGCCTCGTACCTCGTCGCTTTTCGCTTTGGCGGCGGCCCAGGAGATGCCGCTGGCACCTATAGGATTTGGCGACAGGAAGCCATTGTGAGGCGTCGTCGAGCCACTGGGCGAGGTGAGTCCAGGACTAGACCATCCTGCTCCCGCGGGGTGGGGAGAGGGCGATCGTGACAACGACATGAGCGGGGAGTCGGGACCGACAGGGATGCCGGCAGGAAGGGCAATGGCGGGCGAGCACAACGGCCCGCGGAGCAGCCACAGGCGGGCGTGATTGGGGAATTCTTGCTCGGCAGAGGGCCGCGGTGGAGGAGGTCAATGGGATATGTCTTTCTTTGAAGCAGGCGCCCGCAACTTGGGGGGAAACAAGAGCGCAGCAGAAAGGAAAAGGATGAGGTTTTGGAGCGGAGGTGTAGAAATTAAAGTAAAATTACTCTTCGGTTCAGGAGTCACCAGCTCGAAACGACGGAAGAGGAATAGTATGACATGGTCGTTGATAAAAACTGGATCACCAAGTCGCCAAAAAGGCCGAAACAATAATCCAGGAACAGAGGAACCCATCCGCGAACGGGTCTGTCCGCTTTCGTTTGGGGACTTTTCTCTTTGAGGGCCACTTGTCAGGTTAACGGTACAGCTCCAAGGGCGCGCTAGGGGGTGCCCCGGAGAACTGGTTGAAGAATGGAAAGGAATGGGAGGGATCCAAGGGTCAACAACCCCCATGAGGCAGCGATGAGGGCGCAACTTATCATCAAGTAAGACATTCCGCGCGAGGACCATGGATAGAACCCGAGCCATGGCTATCAGGATGACCACCCACTGCGTCGGACATTGTCATCTCGTGTGTGAGAGAGAATGAGGTGCTCGGAGAGAGCATCATTCGTTGGTGGTGGGGAGGTAGGAGATTAAACTGCAAAAAGCAGATTAATTTAATTAAATCCTAGCAACAGCCCCGCCCCCTCGCTTGAGCTTCTCGCGCAGACGCCGAAACGAACGGTTGGAGCCTGGCAATTTGTTGAGAGGAGCTGCTCATTTCGAAGGTTACTTGCGAGTAGGTTGTGAGTTGGCCACCCTGGCTCGAGAATCTGTCAGACCCCCTAATGCGACAATGAAGCACCTAACGGTGGAACACATTCAAGCTATGTTCCAGTTCGGAGAAGATGGAAGAACTGCTAGAAATCCGAGAGACCAGACTAGCAGGAAGAAACTAATCTCCAAGATCCACATGGAAAAAGAGTGAGACCCACTCGGTCTTTCAACTTTAGCGGTCAGGGTCACATGTGGTGCTGGTGTTGCTTTGGCTTCCTTCGTGGCTTTTCGACGCATTGGGAAACCTCCCGATTTCATGATTCGTGATCTTTGACAGTAGTATCCAGATAATGTGTTTCTTAAACCTGTTGGATCTGCCTGCTTCCGGCGTCGCTTATTCAATGTGAATAGATACCACCCTGTGAACCAGGGAACTGCCCTTCGTATCGTTGCCCGAGAGGTACAGGCTTCACGGACCCAATTGATTCCAGACCCTGAGGGTCGCTACTAGTCTCTTCGTAGGTAGTTCCTAGATATTATACGAGCTACATTTTATCAACAAATGTATTTTGAGAACTTTAATGGCCTGCTGTTTTTGGCTGTCAATTTGCCGCCACTGACGCAAACCCTTGTCTCATACAGTGGGCTTCCTTCACTCATCCACAAGCAATTAGGCCCTCAGTCACGTTTCCTAACCTTCAGCTATACTGTGTTGCAGTATATTGTCCACCGCGCTGCTGCTTGACAAGGGTGCTGGAAATGACTGCTTTATGAGGTCTGACTATAAATGTATGCTCTCTACACAGAGGCTTGATTGATTTTTTCTCTTCTATTATATCATTCCAATGTACGCTACTTTCTTAGACTAGTATCAAGTGCAAGAGCTCGTTATATACCTTCTAGAGACATTCCAGAAAAGAATGCGAAATTAAAACTTCCATGAAATCAGAAATATATTGACCGCCACATACGTCGAGTATGGGTAATTGTTTCGTTTTTCAATGGCTTTACGCCGGTAGCTAACATGACATTATGTGTGAATAACTATGTAGTTGTCTCCGAAAGGACGGGATATGACCCCCTAAGCGAAGGTTATAGAGACAACTATCAGTAATCCTAATGAGAAACGTCATTGTGTCGAACTCGGACTTTTCATGGAGCTTGTCGGTCTAACTACAAGCCATTCTTTAATTCTTAGATATTAGATATTGAGGTATTGAGACATCGAGATGAGCATACTTTGCGATCTTCAGGGTGAGCCACATTGCATTATTATTTAACTCGCCTTCGGATTCACGAAGAAGCGACTGATCCTAAGAATATCCAAGTCATACATCACTTCTCATACTCAATCCGACCAGTATCTCAGAAACACGCATCTACCCCCCCCAACAAAATATCGTCAACCTTGTTCTCGTTCTCAATCCACATATATCCCTGCAGGGCCTTTTCATCGCAGAGAATTTGACCAGGTTGACATACAAAGACCAAAATACATACGAATCACAAATCTCTAAGCGAATCCCACTCAAGCCCTTCTCTCCTCATCAATCCCCCTGCCCAAAGTGCCTACTGAAGGGTACATGCGCTCGCCAATCGCCCTCCGACGATTCATTTCCTCATTGAGTCTCAGCTGCATCTGCAGATCTTGTTGCTCGGCATCACCTCCAGGAGCTGGGAAATGCTCTAAAAATCCCATCTCACACTGCTCGTGGAGACACTGCACTTGGGTGGTGTTACAGCCTTGCGAGTAGAAAAGGCGTGAGATGGCTTCTTTCATCTGCTCGATCTGGGCGATGAAACAAGAACACTGTGTATCAGTCCATCCTTGGGTGCACAGGAAGCCGTAGAGTCTCTTCTCGTAGGTGGTCTGGTTCGACGGGTCGACCAAGTGAGGCTCATTTGCATTCGATGTTGCGTTGAGGGCAACAGGGGGAATTTGGCTAGTACCAGGCAGGGGAGTGTTTTCATCTGCGTCTGACATGATTTGGCCGCTTTGTAAACTGTAGAGAATGAACTGAATTAGGATTCAAGTTGGACAGGCTGGTGAAATAATGAGTGATGATTAAGACGATGTATAATGAGAAAGGAGGTGGTAGCGTTGCTTATTATCCGCTGAGATATCCTTGCACTTACCCTTGCACTAACTAGCACAACGCTTACAGTAATTTACTGGTAGTATTTATACCATACAGAGTAAGACCACTTGGCTTTGATAGGTTATATTTAGAGGACTATATGGTGTAATATCGAGTACTCTGATTGATGCGCCTTAGCTACATCATATTGCTGTCAAGCCCTACAGTTGATGACTATTTCCTGCCCAAATCTAGGAATAGACAGTAACGCCAGTGAAGATTGAGTGGCTGCAAGCATTATTCGTATGTGTGCACTAATGATAGCAAAGTCAACTTCCACCAAAGAATTTGGAAAAAAAAAAAAAAAAAAAAAAAAAAAAAAGAGTTCAAGCCTAGATTATACATACCCGGTGTGGATAACAGCTGGTACGGCGTAATACTCCATTTACACACAAGAAGCAATCCTGGAGAGTAGAAGAGCAAAACTAATCACCGTATTGCGAGTTAGAACGCTTTGACGGTAACCGCTTCGGTTGCAACTTACACCGAACTGATAAGTCGGGACTCTGGCATCGCTCTCATCGATACGAAGGTGAGCAGCATTAGACTCTGCAACATCTGCCTCATGAAGAGACACAATCCTGCGGCGCTTCTAATGCTGGTCTTGCGGATGCGATGACTGTGGCTGATAGAAATGCGGACACATAAGATAGTTTCATTTTCAATGGAGCTGTGGATATTAACCAAGGAGAATGAGAATTCTCGATCTTTCGGTGACAGATGTGATTGCTTCAGAAATAGTTGTTGATAGTCAGTTCATGTGGCCATGTCGTGTCCTTTTATGGTGCCTCTGCGCAGGTAACCGAGACTACCTCTTTTTCTCAACCTGTGATTGAACGCAGAATTCATCCCAGCAAGGTGCCATATCTCAGGTGATGGAACCAACAATGTCCATCCTTGGTGTCTATTCTATAGCTGCATGGAACGTTACGCATGTAAAAGGTCCTATGTACGGAGTAACTGAAAACTTTGAATACAACCTTCCAAGTGGAGTAAAGATTATTTGCAGTTCAGTGCACCGTCATTGCCGCCTTGCTGTTGTTACAAACCTACGTCAACATCTTTCAAAAGCACTGGATATCTAAAATGTTCGAGATGGGTGAGCTAACGTGCTAAGGCAAGTAGATAGGACGAGGATGGTTGATCAAGTGTAGACCTATCATATAAATGCCATATTAACATATGAAAATCTACTAGTAGTTGATAAAGACGCCTTTGAATCTTGACTGGCTGCTCATTATGTGACCAATGCGTTATGAAACATTGTCCAGAGAAGACATATATTCAAAGCAGAGTGATACACTAGAGAGCAACCGGAACGGGAATGTCTCACAGGAAGCAATTATCTGGTGTCAGACAGGAAATAAATGGGCGGGGATAGTATACTGCGAATCACTCAGAGCCATGTGCTCCAGTCTATTTACTCCCCTACTGATGGAAAAGTACTAGGCGCCACTTCAAGCGCATAGCAAGGACAGATATACATCGTCACTTGGGGCCTGGACTCGTTCTCTCTTAGCTACAACCCATACACAACAAGCGGACCTAGCCTCTACCCTATGGATCTATTCTCAAAGAATTGATTTGGCTGTCTGATCATCTTGCCACTTTTCACATCCCTCAGCCACCACAGGGCAAGTATCGACCTACCCAAGGTGGCTAGTGGGGTGGGGTCACAGGGCTTCTGGCAGAATGCCTGCACGGGAAGCATTATTATAGTGCCACAAGGTAGCACAATGTCCGCACTTGTTACTGCAGTCAGCGTTGCATTTAATAGTTCAAGCTTTGCCCGATAAGCAAAATGAACAGGTCTGTAGGCGCCAGGCCATGATCAGGATCAAACCTGGAGGATAGAAGCAATTATACATGTAGTATATGACTAGTACATACTTCCTTGTCTCACCTAGTAACTATACAAAAGTTTGACTCGTGTAACTTAGACGTCCACTCCTATACGTGATTGTAGCGGCCGATATAGTAACTCATAGGTCCTAAAAAAACTAATAAACATGGTACATGCTACTTCAGTTAAAGTGACATTGAATAGATCCAGGCCAGGGTTCAACAAGAATAAGAACAGTACATCTGATCAAGTCTTTTTCTCTCTCAAATTACCCTCATTCAGCGTGCTCCCTACGAATCCACGAAAATCAGGTGCAAATTGAGACTCTAGACGAACAATATCGTTGCCCTTCTGTTCATAGGAGCTGCTGCGGCTACCGGTATTGGACCTTGCTATAACCAGTAGGTCCTCTTTCTGTCTTCATTCCAGACATCTTGTTTGATCACTTTGAAGTGCATCCTAAGTTTGTTGTAGCGCAGATCCTCAACACAATATCGGCAACTACCGTTATTGTCAAGGAGATGGTGTGTCTTTTCACGTCTCTCGCTCTTTACTCTACCATCCCTGGGAGACTCGGCTTAACTTATCTCTTCTATATCACATATCAGGTGTCTGTTACTTCGAAGGCATACATAATTCATGCGACCCCCCTGGGAATGCTATTCCTGGTGATTTTTCAAGGAATATGATACGCAGTGGCCTACGCCTGGGGACAGAAAGATGAAATGGAAGGGCCGATTGTATTTCGCCATGGTGCCTCCTAGGAATAAAGTACAGACTGACTAAAATAAATAATACTTTAGCCTGACAGAGTATGAATGTATATAGCAAAGTCCTGTCTCAAATACAATTGCTCTTCCTAAATATCAGAGCACGCGGGTGCTATCTAATTCTAGCAAAGTAGCAGCAGCTTTTTACTTACTCCTTGTCCCTGAGCAAGGAGATAATGATACACCGAGGGATCGACGGCACTGGGTTGGACCATGGCAATACGTTCATGTATTCTATAGTGGTCCGTCTCAGACGTATCCAGGTGAGCGGGTAATAGATCGTGGTATCCATTGATAAATATCCATGCAATTGATGATCGTACATGCGTTGACGAGAGTAGTCTTTTTCCTTTTTTGTTCCCCTCCAGACCCTATCTTATCCAGATCATTATGTATATGCACAAACGCCAAAATCAATACTGAGCCACCCCATTTGTTCCCCCAAGACCAAACGAAGATGCAACCCATACATAAGAGATACATACAACTCCAAACCACACCAGGGACATTACACCATACCTCATAGCCATTTCCAACTCAGTCAGCGAACCAAGTGCCACCCTATCGACACCTACTTCTTCCCATGCGGTATTTTCCGCGCAGGTTGTCGGTTGGCAGCCTTGTCCTTGGGCATCAAGACTTTGCGCACGGTGAAGCCTTTCTCCTCATCGGGACGTGAGCGAGCACTATCTCCATGGTAAAATTCGCACGCGAACTTCAAAAACTTGTTCCGATGTTGATAAACGGTAATGACATCGCCGGTATACAGTTTGCCGAAATGGAAGCCTTCTCCGCCATTGTCGTTCTCGGGCCCACGCCGCAGCTCAGTTCCATTGACCCAGATACACTTTCGGGTTTTGGTCGAGAGAATAGCCATCACGCCGGGGACTGTCATCCAATCGTGTCCAGCGGCAATCTTGGTTTCGATGGCTGGTGCCCAAAAGGTAACTTCCAGTGCATACGCAGGTATCCGTGTATCCATTGGCTCGGGATAGCATATGGTTGCTTGGGGGCCGCGGCCCCAGGATGTCATCCGAGCTTCCAGCGGAATAGTGAGCTCAAAGATGGACCCGGGGAGAGTGGTCAGCTTTCCAAGGAGGGGGCGTGATGTGCTAAGATGCGTCACGGTATTGAGAATTGGGCCTGGAGTCTGATCGGCCGCAGGCTGTAGGGAAGGCTCACTGTCTTCCCTTTTCGGCAAGTCAGGAAGTCGCTGTCCGGTTTTGGCATCGATAGTATTCGCCAACTCAATGTCGAACACCTCTTCAGGAGCAGCGTCGGGCTCAGCATGCCCATCGTTGGTCTTTCCCGTTGTCGTTTCGGGACTAGAACGCTCACTGGCAGTATCGGGTATGGGGAGTTCAATCCGCCGGTTGAATTTTGAAGCCTTCGGGGTTTCATCATCGATAGTGGTCTGCGGGGGCGCCTCTGGGGCCTTGTCCTTCGGGACTTCTGCGGCCACGCTAATTTGCGGCCCCGGCACCTCGACGTGACGGGGAATGTTGTTCAAGCCAGGGTGCGACGAGTTCATGTTCAGCTGCCCAACAAGGTTCTCAGCTCCCATTAAGCTAGGTGCAGACCCCGCGACGGGGTTTTCCGGCAGGGAGAGGATGGAGTTCAGGCTGTTGCCGTCGCTGATTATCGACTCACCAGTGGAAGAAACGAAGTCATGGAGGCCAAAGTCGTCGCCCTCAAATGCATCAACCTTGTCGCCCAACGCGTGAGAACTTCGAAGTATCGATGGCGTAATTTCACCGAAAAGTCGTTTTGGAGTTGACTGGGAAACTGGTTGAAGAGCCGAGAAACTGTCGAAACTGGGCAGCGATGGATAGCGAATTTCCTCCGGCGGATATTCAAGCTTGATTTTCTTGGCCTGGGCCAATTCGTCGTCCTCCTCAGCCACGACTTCTGCTGCCGGATTATCATTCAAAGACAGCTGAGATGCGTCTATTTCGTCCTCGAGATCCTCGCCTATGTCAGAAAGCTCATCCGGGACACCCAGAAACAAGTCCTCATCATCATAATCGTCAATGTCCGCAACTCCTGCAATCCACGGGTGCCTAAAACATTCTCGTTCGTTCGGGCGAGACTGGGGATCACGGTTTAAAAGTCGAGCGACAAAATCTATTCCATCCTCTGAGACGCCTGCCTTGCGGAGTTCACTATAATCCGCATCCTCAGTCATGATGATTCGCAGCATCTGAGCACCACGATCATCTCCTCGAGGAGCGAAAGGAGGGACACCCGAAAGAAGATGAAAGAGAACGGCTCCAAGCGACCACATGTCAACAGATTGATCGTAAGGGGATGTTTTTGGAGGCCTAATGGTCAGTATGGTTTCGGCAGCGCATATGTTACCAGGAACTTACGGATCACCCAGCCTGCGCCGTTTCCGAACCTCACCACGTCGGTAAGTGTCATACTCGGGGTAGACTTCCGGGGCGCAGTACAGCAATGTGCCACAAAAGGTCCTCAAAAAGGTCTCTTCCTGAACTACTTTTGAGAGACCGAAGTCTGACAATTTCACTCGGAGGGGATCAAGAGACGAAATCAAGATATTGTCTGGCTTGATATCTCGATGCGTGATCTTCCGTTTATGTAGATAGTGGAGTGCATGCAAAATCTGTCGCGCCATGGTCCTAACCTGGGCCTCTGCGATCCTGCCATGCGACTGCAAGTAAGTGGACAGCTCTCCACCGGGAACATACTCCATGATGATGTATATCCATCTGTCGTGCTCGTGATGGTCGACGTATTGAACAATATTGGGCTAAAAGTCATTTGTTATAAGTGGGAGCGTCAGAAAATTCATTTGAGGTTACTCACGTGTTTCAGATCTTTCATGATCTGCATTTCATTGTCAACTTTCTTGTCGAGTATGCCATTTTTCATCCAGCGGCGCTTGTCGAGTTCTTTGGCTGCATATACAGAACCATGCTGCTTCGTGGCGAGTTTGTAGACCGTTGCAAAGGCTCCCTTGCCTATTTGCCCCGTCACGTTGTAAATCGATCCTCCAGACCAGTGCATGCCGTACGTATTAGGTGAAGCGATCTGCAGAGCGGGCGCGGGGGTAGTACGAGCTCTGGGTTGCGCTGCACCTGCTCTTTGCGTCTCGATCTTTTCGAAGTAGCGAAGCATATTTTCGGTGTACTGCATGACAAAACCTTCCCGGGACGGCAGGCGCACAATGAATCTGACTTCCTCCGAAGACTGCCCCTCACCATTTGGCACCTGAATGACGGAACCATTGACTAGCATGCGGCTCTTCTCACGTTGAATCTTGCGAAGACGGCAGTTGTCTACGATCGTTCCATTGGTGGAGGTGTCCTCCAGCATTATGATCCCATCTTGCGTAAGATAGATGCGGAAGTGCGTGTTCGAAATACGTTTCGAGTTAGCATCGGCAATGAGAAGATCGCAGCGAGCCCTGTTCCGTCCGAAGCAAAAGCCCGTGTTTGCGTCATACACATCCGATGACAGTCTAAGAGCGAAGTCCAAAGCTGCTGTATCTGAACATTCATATTCTAGCGCATCCCTTTGTAGGATGTGCTGCGGGGCGTGGCGCGCAGTTGCGGCTACAGCATCATGGGCTGCAGGTGAATTTGGGTGTAAGATACAAACAATGTCCGTCAGATCATCCTCGTGGAGGGCCGAATTGTTGTAGCCCATGCGGCGAGGGTCCGTGCATGGCTGAGTGGACTCCTGGGTCGCCTCCATCTGCACGGATATTGATGATGACGTCGAGGGCTGACAGGAACAGTGCGACTGCCGGGAAAGGTATGAATATAGTAGAGAAAGACAGAAAAATTCAAAAGCAGACTATATGACAAGACAAACACTGAAGGGTATATGTGCGGGACTCAAGTAGAGAAATGGGAATAGAACTTTGCGTAGCCAAGGCGATGATCAACAGGAATCCATATCATAGACCTGTTGGGGGTATAAGCCTTGCTAGCATTAAAGTTGATTGCTTGTATGCTCGAATAATTCTTGCAGCGATGCAGGAAGGTATGAATGACCTTACCTGGCGAGCAACCAAACGACAGCACCAGCCCGCGCAATGTTCCAGCAACCTTAGAGAGCGCACCCCGAAATCACACCCAGTTTATCCAAGGCCTGGTGTATGCGATGATAAATTGGCAGGAACGAGGCCAGTAGATGTACCAAACAAGACTTTATACAGTGTGCCTTCCAGCGATAGGCAGCGAGGTCTCAAAGTATCTCAGTCGTGATGGATAGCTCCAGGCTTGAAAGCCAACCAGATTGGGTCCAAAACTGCTCAGGAATTCGTAGTGTTGGACCATTGAAGCAAGGAGCAAAAAGGGAATCCGTCGAAGGGGTTTGTGAGGGACACCGGGCGTGTTTCTATAGCAGGTTCCTGGTATTAGTCAAGGATGCCCATGTAACTAACAACAGTGCACAGAGAAACGGAAAGTTAGACTCACACAGTTAGCAAAGTCTCCACCAACTATCTACTGCATTGCCAGGCTCAAGAGATGCAATAGAGGGAGCATAAAAGGTGGAGCCAGAGACGGAGACGAGACAAGAGACCGTCCGACAGGAGTCGTCGTCCGAGAAACATGCAGCAGCAAGGCTGGGGTGATAAACCGCAGCTCTTTAATTTGAAAGTCCAGCAGAGCCCCAGGCACCAACAAGGCAGAACCCCGGATGGCCGCACCTGAGCCAATAAGAGTGCGCCTTGCATAGGCGGGCGGGACACACCGCATCTACCGATTCCGTGGATCCAACGCGTGACACTCGACTTCAGATCGATTTACTTCCTAGCGATTCAGATCGTTCTATCCTATACCCACTAGTGCGATTATCCAACGACTTCCTTGTAATTCACTTCAGTCAGTACTACGCTTAAACTTTCTTGCTCAAAGCTGCCTCAAACACCTGCTCGAGTCGAGAGAGGGACTCCTCGGATACCTCTGCAGTCATGTTAGATCAATGTGGGAGAGTAGTTCGCATGGCAAAGGAATACTTACGGTAGTGGACGACGATGCGACTACCCCCAAGCTTCAAACCCTTTTCACGTCCAATCTCGGCCAGATCATCAGGCCCCAATCCCGACCCCTCAACGTCCAACCACACCATGTTGGTCTCTACGGGGTGGGATAGCTTGCCTCCACGGCTAGTCCACATATCGGCAACCTTCTTTGCTCTTTGGTGAGACCCTAGAAGCTTCCCTTGCTGTCCGTTGGGGTCGGGTCCAAATGTCTCCTCAACTGCGACACGGGCCGCCGCAGAGATGACTCCAGCTTGACGGACACCACCACCGATGGACTTGCGAAACCATCGAGCTTTCTTGATAAACTCGCTCGAGCCAACAATAATACTTCCAATGGGAGCACCTAGGCCCTTCGAGAAACATAGGCTTACGCTGTCGAACAAAGTAGTGTAGTCAGGCAAACTACCGGCACCGGACACCACTGCTTCCCAAAGTCTCGCACCATCCAGATGGACCTTGATGTTATTTTGATGAGCCCATTCAGTGATGCGCCGAGCCTCAGAAAGTGGCATAACCAGTCCATCCAACGTGTTCTCAAGACTGATGAGCTTCGTAGGACAGTAGTGGATGTTATCACTGAGTACCGCATGTTTCTTGATATCCTCCAGAGTAAGGTGGACACCATTCTTCGGGATAATGGGCATGACCGTGGCGCCCGTAAGGGAGCTTACTCCACCAGCCTCGTAGCAGATGATATGGGACCGGTGATCGCAAAGGACAGAATACGGAGGCTCCTTTAGGTGAGTGCGGATGGCAACCTGGTTGCCCATTGTACCGGACATGACCAAGAGAGCGCTCTCATGTCGAGTGCGCTCTGCCACATAAGCTTCAAGATCATTTGTCACTGGATCTTCACCGAAGACATCGTCAAGAAGTGTGGTCTGGCAGATAGCCTCCAGCATTGCCGGAGTTGGCTTGGTCATTGTATCACCTTACGACATATGATTTTCAGCAAAAGTGCACATCACAATGGCAGCATTCTTCTGCTATGAGTCATACTCACTTCTCAGGTCAAACTCAGCTGCACCGGCACCCTGCCACGTGCTGGGTCTGCTCCCATTGGAAGCTGTTGATACGCTAGCCATGGCGATCCTGGAACGGTATGCGAATCTTGGAATTGGGAGGGATGGCCTTAGAGGAAACAAGGATCGAAGAGAATAGCGGGCCAAGGATCCCATCGAGCCTCAAAACTGGAATGATGACAGGGCTGAAGCAAAAGCAAGTAGGCAGCGGCAACGAATTGGCTGTTAATCTAACGGGCATGCGGGGGACATTCCGAGGGGAAGCAAAAAGTGACTAATCACCGATAGGAACAATGGAGGAGATTCTCCGAAATGATGTTATTCGACAATGAGATGGACCCCGGCGGTGCATGGTTTATACTGGATTCGGCCTAGTTTCTTTTTCACAATTAATTATTGGAGTAGATGCGCTTTTCTAGTAGACTTATCACTTCTTGAGCACCACTACAGCTTGACGGATGCGGCTGGGACTATAAACTTAGATGTTAACTAACATGTTGCTCAGCAATTTGCATTATCCTCCAGTTTTGATATCTCTGACATCTCCACAAGCAGACCTTACAGTTCCATTCACCATTTGCAAGACTTCAGCAAAGCTTCACCAAGCCATGTTCCACTCCAACAGCTTCTGTACAGGCGAAGGATCTTAGAGAGACTTCGATGCATCCACTTAATTCGGGTTGCGATGACATACTACGCGCCCATTGTAGAAGAATCATATGAACTATGACAAGGCTAACCAAAAACCCCGCATGTCAAGACTACTACTAGTTTGTTTTCAGCAGGTGAAAAATTTTATAGTTCATACTCTCCTGGAAATTTAACTTCTCCGATGGGGGATGTCCGAGCAAACTTGTGATCTGACCAAGGCAGGGCCAGAAATAACGAGCAGGAGAGGGATAGAAACAAGGAATCGTAAGAGTCAGGATGTGACAGGTGTGCTGGTAGATATCTGGCAGCCTGCATGTAGGTAGTAGTTACTAGTTTAGCACTAAGAAATAAACAGGCGTTTTAGTACAGAAGTTGATTGGAAGCCTTGTTTAAAGTCTCACCTGCATATCTGGCTGTAACGGGAGAAAAGGCCAGGGCTCTCCTCCATACACTAAGTGATTAATAGCATAAGGGCATGTATTGAGGTGAACCTATTGCATAATCGAGTTATCAATTTTTTTTGGAGTCTCTGTACATATCAGTAGATTGTATATTTGGTAGCAATGTCAAGAGTTTAGACATTGAAGTAGCTGAAGCTATAGTTGGCTGCTCAGGAGAAGCCATCTCGGTAAGTAACATACGTAAAAGATACGCGGAGGGGAGCGGAAGCCGGGCCCAGCCACTGAAGGAGAAACACGGAGGGCCGGGTATGACGACAGTGAAACGCGTGCGGCCCTTATCGATAGCCTAATCGGGAATGGTCGACCCGCCAACGTGTCTCCATTGACGGCTGAGTCAGCAGTCGAGATCCCTCTGGACTTTTGCGGGCAGGTTTGCGCCCTGACTTTCGTTCATCTCGCAACTTCACGCGGGCTCACGGCCATACGCTCTTTCACGGCCTGAGTTCCAACGTGCTTCCCCCTCATGTCCACCGTCATGGATCTCTCTCGGCTTACCCGCCCGGCAATCCTCTGCCAGTGCTCGCGATGCTCGAGTTCGCTGGCTGCGCTCGAGAACGAGTGGGCTAAACTCTCGAATTCTTACTCCATAGTGGCTGGGTGGCTGAGCGTCGAGCTGCATCGCATTTCCATCTCCTCGGAGAAGAAGCAAATTCCGCAATCATCAGAGCTGAACACCCTACGAGGCCGGATCCTCCAGGAAATCTCCTGTAAGCTCTGTCAACAGAAGCTGGGCGTGCTATGCTCTCTAGACAATGGGTAAGTGGGTATCATTTCTGTTCACGCTTCTCAGCTAACACAGAACAGCCCCAATATCTTCTGGAAGTTATCGAAGGTGTCGTTCAGGGAAATTGTTACCATGCGCACAGTGGAGCCTGTATTCAAGGAAGGATCGCTCGAACGCGTTCTATGTCCGACTCCCCCCTCCCGACAAGACCGAACACCAGTCCACGCCGGGGCCCTGGTACCCACTACATCGACGGAGCTAGACCCCTACAACTTGTCGATGGAACAACAGATCCAGCACCAAGGGCTGAGCCTCGATCACATCACAAGTTCCGTCAGCAACCTTCACGATACCATGTCCGAGTTGAAGAACGCATTCACCGCTCTGCGCATCGAATTGAACGGCCCAGGTCGATTCACATCCGATATAGGCACCCCTGCTAGCAAGGACATGATGATCGCAACAGTATTGAAGGAACTCAGATCCAAAGCCGATGAAATCGAAAGACTGAAGCTCGAAAACGAAGCACTGAAGCTGAAGAACCGTTACGCGGAAGAGCAAACCCTCAAACAAGTACAACCACCACCGCCACCACCCTTATACGCAGACACAACAGTACTCGCAGAAGTCCGAAGCCCAGGCCTACTACAAGGAAGTCGGAAGCGGCCCTGGCCAGACTCATTCCCAAGCGGACGCACCCAACCGATAGGTGATTCATTCGACGAAGACTCTTCGGACAGCATCGCAGACTTCTCCTTAGAAGACGCAAGTCTACCTCCAGTCAAAATTCCCCTGAAGGACTCCACATCCATGTCCACAACAGACAAGACAACCCACGAACCCACACCATCAGGCTCCCCCAAACTGCACATCGAACTTAACCACTCGCAACGACAACAACAACAGCAACAAACCCCTAACCATGATAACGACCTTAACAACCACCACGACAACAGCAAAAACTCCGCCACCTCTCACCGAGAAGCCATAGTAAAACGTCCGCGCCTATCCCAATCAACAGACAAACCCACAACCAGTGGACGAAGACCCGGCCGACCCCCGCGCAAATCATTCAGCCAAACCACCAAACCCGACATCACCACCAGCGCCAACAATCAAAGCCCCAAAACCACCCCACTGACCGAGCAAAACGGCAACGCGCACAAAGATTCCCAATTCGACGATTCCAGTCCCAGCGACACCCGCACCACAAAGGAGAACCGACCCGCTCACTCGCGAAGCCTGCGCAGCAGATCTCGGCCCCCGTCGCGGCGCCAATCCGCAGCAGCCAACGCCGACACACGTCCATCGGAGCCGGAGCAAACTCCACAGAACGGGTATCAGAATGGGGACGATGTACCAGACCACACTGAACAGCGACAACAACAGCAACAGCCAACGCCCCCCTTACACACGGGCAAAGAAAACTCGCATGGCGGCGCAAACGGCGTGCACAAGCCCGATACACGAGAGAAGCGCAAAGCACAGTCCGCAGCGCGAGACATCATGGTACGATTAGCTATGCAGCGTGAAGAAGCAATGGAAACGGAGGATTCGCGATGAGAGCGAGTGATGTGGGATTATTGAAACAAAAAACAAAAAAGTCTTCTGTTTTGATGCACAAAAGCAAGCAAGCTAGGCTGACCCGCTCACTTTATTTTCCCTTTTCTTCCTTCCTTCTATCAATTGTATTATCTATACTCTATCTTTGGGTGATGTGACATCCCTTCTTTTTCTTTCTTCTCATGTATTTGTACAAAAGTGGCCCCCTTTCTCTGTTTTTTTTTTTTTTTTTTTCTTCTACACAAACATCTATAGGATCACCCCGCCACCTTACTATTTACTAGCTCTTCCATGGCGACCCCCTTTCTTGATTCATTTCCCCACTAGGCCGAGATTGCCAGTCTAGCTTTTCTGCACAATGATATCCCCACATAGGGTGTGATCCAGCCCAATTCTTATCCAATCAATCCAAAAATGTCCGATTTGATATGGCTCCAGCATGTCATGCCTATTTCTCCGTGATAGAACGTAGATACTAGGCAGTTGAGCAGTAGGCGAGTAGTTGTCGATCAGAAGACGGCTCGAATACCCATAATCTAGAGTTCAAAGCATGGGGAATCTTCGTAAGAAGCCTCGAAAGGCATTCGTGACAAGCGAGCCAAACCACCAGGACCTGTATCTTGAACCCGGTCTGCTGCCTGGTCAAAAACACAGTCCCGTACGGAAGAGGAAGAAAAAATGGATGAAAGAAAAAGAAGAAAAGAGGTAAGATGTTAATTACTTCACACACATGAACCCGCAGCCTTCTCTGGCTCGTTCACAGGCCTTCTTGAGCGCCTGCTCCTCAGTATCGGTCCATTTGACGGTCAACTCATCCCACGGTTTGCGGGAGTTGAATTCTTCGCGGAAGGTCTTGTGCATGGCTTGGAGGCGGCTAACTTCGCGAGGGTCTCCGGTGCCGGAGTAGACGAGGAATAACGTGCAAGGAGGAAGGGATTGGTAGATTTGGTGGATGTTGGAGACGGTGCGGGAGACGGTGTCGGCGAGGTTCCGAGTGGCTTCTTTAGTGGGGGAGACGGCGGCGGATGTCGGGGTTGTTTCTTCAGGAGGGGGAACGAGCGTCGTCGACTCGTTCGCGTTGTTGGGGTCGGGCATCCGATTGCACCAGCCGCGATAAACTTCGAGTTCGCGCAATCTGGCCCAAGTGAAGTCAACACCGCCTCCGGGAATGGAGGGGTTGCTATCGTCGCCGTTGACTACTTTAGTAATGCCATTTACAACGTCGGTGTCGTTGGTGCATCCTATCGATGTAGTCGCCTGCGACCCGAAGCCGCGCTCCGGGTTGCCCCAGTCGACAACAGCTCCAGTGCGGCCTTCGTTGGTGGACGATTTCCCGGAACGCATGGAGCGTGCCAGGCGCTTGAAGATACTCTCGTTCGATGCCTCACTGGTGCCCCAGCGCTCACCCTTTTCGCACTTTTGCTTCACGAGTTCGAGCACAGCGCGCGCATCTTCGATCGAGTCGTGGCCTGTCTGGCCCTTCTGGATCTCTTTTCCGAGATACTTCTGGGTGAGCCATCTCAAACTGCACTTGAGCGGCGGTCCGCGGGGATGGGGATAGATAAAGGTGGTATCGACAATGAATGGATGAGTGAGTTTCAGGGCGTTAAAATCGGAATTCAAGGAGTGGCCGACGATGATGGTACGAGGAGTAAGGAGAGAGAGAAGCTTTTGCTGGATGTCGGCAAGAGTCGTGGTGACAGGGTCGAGTAACTCTTTCGTGATACCGGAGAAACGAGTCAAATAATCGATGATAGGTCGCTGGGGTTTCACCAGCTCATCTAGTACAACTTCACCATCCCACCGGACCATGCTGATGCGCGTGAGCTCGGATTGGCCACCTTCGGTGATACACATCTCGCAATCCAACGCTAACACATCCCGGCCTGCGGTCATGCTGCCTTGCTGGATTTCAGAGTCTGGTACCTGTCCAGCCTCCAAGCTCTCGACGTGAGTATCTACCCATCCATCTTCCTTGGAATGTCCGGCCCGCTTGCGATTCTCCAACAAAGTCGACTTTTCTTGTTCTGTGGCGAGCAGAGCCGGATGAAGCACATAGTCGTTCTCCCGGAGATCTTCCAAAGAGCTAATAAAAGTGGTGATCGGTGTACGCTGGAAGGCGATACTCTTGTCCACCTTGGGAGGTTTTACTCCCTTCGTGTTACTATCCTTGCCCTTCGGTAGAGCAGATAGAAGTATGGCTTGCAGTGGAGAGTGAATTTTGTTGTACTTGGAATCACCGGGGGCTTTTACGGGCCAGGCGTGAGGGAACATATCCGCTAGCGGCTGTAGGGGTGTCGGAAGGGTATCGCGCGAAAGAGGGCGAGGATTGAACCGATGTGAGCGATCTTCCAGCGGCAGACCCTGCTTCCAGCGAGCAAAGTCCTCTGCTTTTGTATCCTCATCCATTGCCTTGTCCGTAGCGGCAGGTTCTTCTGTCTCCTTCTCACTAACGGAGTCCGCATCCAGAGGAAGTGATCCGTCGAACATGCCCAGTTCCAGACCGGGCACCATCAGCACGACAATCTTCCTAACATGACCGGAGTGCTTGACTGAGATCCACTGCGGCGCGACGCCATCAGCAAAGCAGTAGAGTAGCAAACTCTGGAGATCAGCAATTCGGATGGATGACTGCAGTTTGCCTTCGACATAGGTAAGGACAGGGTACTTTGTCTTCTCCCCGTCCACGCGCTTCTTCTTCGAAGCTCTTTCCTTCGGCATATCATCCTGCGCCTTCCCAGGTTCTTCCGAGTCGATACCGTTCTGAGACTTTGTCTTGCCCGAGTTTAGGAGCGATAGTGTTTGAGCAACGCCAAAGCCATTGGCATCTGGGCTCTTCTTTACCGGATCTTCGTCATCTGAGCATCCAGCCTCTGTGCGCTTGCGCTTGTTTCCTCCCATGATGTTAAAGCGACGACCGGGGCGGCAAAGAACAAATCAAGACAAAATCGGGGGCTCGGAAGGCCTGCTAGCTGCAGAGGAATCGACCAGAATCACCCAATGTGCTTCCGATATCGCAATGACAACTCAGACAGTCACAAGCAGGTCTAGGCAAGGATGGGGAATTGGCGTCCAGAAGATCGACAAGAGGTCGCGCGACGCAGAATCCCGCCGACTTTTGAGGCACGTGATGATAATCTATCTGGTTACAATACGGTACGGATAGCATGCAGGGCTGGCCGGCCTATCAACGGAGCAGCCTGTTCCTGCGTTCAGAAGCTGCATGAACAATCACCACCCAATATTGAGTCTACATAGTGGAGTATAGCACATATAGAGTCAACTGCATTAGCTCGAAAGTGACTGCTCCATAGCGCCCATAGCAGCATCTTGTTGCTGACGCAGCCTCGGAGCCACCCAGGCTCCGTCTTACGCCGAAGATCGCAGAAGCAGAAAGCGGGTATGGACCGTGTATTACAAACGGCCCCGATGGTTCGATCTGATAAGCGGCCAAAAATTCGCCATCGGCCAGCCATCCTCCTCTGCTCCTCTCCATCTTCCACTCCATCTCGGCCACACCGTGGGGCACTTTGTGACTCTTTCCCCTCTGCCTCTCGTCTTCTTTCCTCCCTTACCCTCCTCCGCTCCCAAGTTTATCTGCCTTCCATCCAACTCCACTCATCCTTTTTCAGATCTTCTCTCTCCCATCGTCACATCAGACGCCAAGTTTTCCCCGCCGAAACCCCACCTCAGTAACCCAACCGAACTATCATCATGTCCTCCCTCGTCGAAGTCGCCTCTGAGGCCGAATTCCCTAACATCATCTCCTCCATTCCCCCATCATGCCTGCAGGTTCTCTACTTCCACGCCCCTTGGGCTGCTCCTTGCGCCCAAATGCGCGCCGTCCTCTCCGCCCTCGCCTCTCAGTACCCCGCGACCAACCCTCCCTCCATCGCCTTCCTCAGCGTTAACGCCGAGGAGCTCCCTGATATCTCGGAAGAGTACAATGTCACCGCTGTTCCCTTCGTAGTCCTCGTCCGGGACCACAATATTCTCGAAACCATCAGCGGCAGTGAAGCAATCCAAGTGCGCGATGCCGTTGAGCGCCACGCCGGTGCCGGTGCCGCCGCCTCTGCAGACGGTGCTTCCAAGACCGTCATCCCCCCACCATTGACAGCCGTGCCTCGAGAGAACGTCCCCGCCACCGCTACACAGGCGCCCGCCACGAACGGCAACGCAGCCGCCCCCGCATTGACCCCCGAACAGTCGAAGGAGGCGCTGTTTGCGCGTCTCGCGGAGCTAGTGAAGGCTGCGCCGGTGATGTTGTTCATGAAGGGATCTCCCAGTGCGCCTCAGTGTGGATTCAGTCGGCAGATTGTGGGCATTCTGCGTGAGCGGAGCGTCAAGTACGGATTTTTCAACATTTTGGCCGATGAGGATGTGAGACAGGGCCTGAAGGAGTTTGCGGACTGGCCTACCTTCCCGCAGTTGTGGGTGGAGGGTGAGTTGGTTGGTGGATTGGACATTGTAAGCCCCCTCCGTTCACTATTTATAGTGTACTTGCGGTACTAACAAGATATCTCTGAACAGGTCAAGGAGGAACTCGAGAACGATCCTGATTTCCTGGACCGCTTCTCCGTCAACAAGCCCGCTGCTTAAGCTATAGAACTATAAGTCGAATAAACCCACGGCTTTGTCCGTATTGGAGCTCCCCCCCCCCTCTTTTCAACATTTCCTATTCACATTTACCTTTTTTCAACCCTCGATTGTTAGAGCTCGAGATCTAGCGGCGTCTTGCTCCTCTTCCCCCTGTGTCCATTATTGACAGGCTGAATTACATAGTACTTGACTGGATGATATCTATACCCATGAGCGAGTGCCATGGGGAATTCTCGTCGTCGTTCATATAAAAACTACCAAATGGAAAAGACCACTTATGATTATTATACAAATGACCCAGTCAGCACCGCTTTGTATAAATATGTATAGTATTCATGTATCAGACCCTTAGGTCACAGCTGTATGCACATATGATACATCTTCCTCTTCGTATAAATAGCAAATGGATATCTGCTCCCCCCAACACACACTCTCTCTTACTCTAATACCCCCAAGCGCAACCACTAGTATAAAAACTAAGGCAATTCATCCGGCTTACCTACCCCCTTCAACAACTTAACATGTTTACTATTCAGACCCTTACGCTTCAACCTCCACAGGTTAGGATACTTATTCGACGAAGTCTTAAACTCCGACAACATCGCATCCTCATCGACATACGCACCAGCGAGCCACCTCTCACCCGTATTAGTCTTGAATCCACGACGCGCATGCGCCACACGGCGATTCTCAAAGACAACACATTCACCGGGGTTCAGCTTCAGCTCGAACATATACCGTTCGTCCTCAAGCAGAGAGGCGAACTTAGCAAGAGCCTCATTCTTCTCGCGGAACTTGCGGGGCACAGGAGACCGGACCTTCCTGGGGGCCTGGAAAGGCGGGGAGTAATTTACGTGGACGAGACGTGATTTGGAGAAGTTAGTTCCTTCGCGGACGCTGTCGTCGAAGGTCTGTGTTTCGAAGACGGGCCAAGTGTTCGTGTAGAAGTGATCCGGGTGGTTGTAGTGGTAGGGGATGTGGTGATGAAGGAGGCGGGAGTAGTTTGTGTGGTCGTCTTGTTTCATGTCGTATGCGACGCGGAAGGTGTCGACGAAGAGGGATTCGCCGCCCTCGCAGGAGTTCTTGAGGCAGTGGAGGAGTTGGTAGCCGGGCGGGTCGTTCATGTACATCAGGTCCATGTGGAAGCCGAGGAACTGGTTTGTGTAGGCGACGTTGGTGGCTTGGGGGACGCTGCGCACGTCCCAGGTGCGGCCGTAGAAGGTATCGCGGATGGGACCCATGCGGGTGGCGATCTTCTCGACCATTTCGCGTGAGTCTGGGATGTCTTTGATGAAGATGAGGCCGAGTTCGGCCAGGGTGCGCATGGACCAGGCGAAGGAGATGTCGTTGTTGATGAATTGGTCGAAGGTGATCCAGTGCTGCCAGTGTTGCATGCGGCTGTTGTCCCAGTAGGCTCGCCAGCGGTTTTTGCCCGCAGATTCCATTTCCACGGGGGTGAGGATGGGGTGTCGGAGCTGGTGGAGGTCGTATGTGGACTCGTGTGTTGATTCGGCGGGAGCGCCGCGGAGGTCGTTCTTCCATGTTACGAGCAGCTTTCCGTGCTCGATGGTTGGGTTCTCGGAGATAATGTCGGAGGATATGTCGCTCGTGCGGAAGTTGCGTTGCTTGGAGTGAGGGTCCACACAGGTAGAGCATTTGCAGGAGTCGCGAAGGATGATGTCTAGGATCTCGATAGGCTTTTTGCGGCCTTCTTGGATGATTAGACCCCCGTCTTTGCGTGTGATTGTGTATTTGTTATCCTGGTATTCTACAGTCCCGGCGCTTGTCTCCTGGGTCTTTCCCTCGTGCTGTTCACCTGCTTCCAAAGTTGAGGATTGGTTTGACGGCGATGATACAGGCTCATTGCTTCCACTTGCTACTTCATGTGATACACTGGGTTCGGCGGTCGCATTGCTGGCTGCCGAGGCAATACTGCTAGCTGCTGGAGCAGCATCACTTGATGTGGATGCCACATTGTTGGCGGGAGGGGTAGCATTGGCTGCTGAGCGACGAACAACAGAGGATGAATAGACACGGCGGCTGAGAACGGAGGCCGGAGGGAATGAAGCCCGGGGAAGGCGAAGGGCGGTTCGTAACAGACGAGACATGGCGGATACTAGCAGCGAGGAGACCTGCTATGAAGAATCTGAAGGTGCCCGCATCCAAGGACTTCAGGGTTGGGGGGTGAAGGAGAGCTGGGGAAGAAGTGGGACGCCAGGAGATCCCCCAGATAATAACTTATGGTCTGATGCGACTTTGTTTGTACCGAGGTTTTTCGGCTGGCACCTGATTGGGCACTGACTCGCCGCCGCTTTAAAGTACGAGCTAGGCAGTAAGGCAGTCAGGCAGAGACACCAGGCATCTTCGTCCACCAGGGGATTTGCTTGCCATCTCTTGGGTTGCTTGTTCCAGACGGAGCATAATCGCCCGTTGCTAAATCAATGGAGAGTAGTAATTTAGTAGATAAACCCTCAATTTTCCGGGTGTAAACAGATTCAACAAACTATCCCCGGAAGTAAATCCGGCAGTTTGAAGTCTCCGAGACTCCGTCCGCAGGAAAAGAAAAGGAACGACGGACACACGTCATGCCTCTAGACCGTTAGCATCATTTTTACCCTTTTTTTCTTTGCCCGTCGCCTTTCGACAAGGCCTCCAGCGAAACAACCACCTACACACCACCACCACACAGAAAACCACATCAATGACAATCTCTCAATAACGTGCTACCATTTGCGACCATCAATTCCACCTCAAATATCCACATCTCTCTCGCCTTAACCATCAACCGTCACATGCATGTCGGCCGGGGGAGAACACCTCAAGGATGAGGTACATAACCACCCCAGATCCCCATGCACCATCCATCCCCTCAACAATCATACATACACTCCAATCCCTAGCACCATCCATCAACCCTCACTCCCAATGCGCAAGCTAACCAATCCCCTCCAACCACCCAGGGCACACGACGACAAGTCGTCCTAGCAGGCGGCATAGCCGGCCTCGTATCACGGTACGCCCATCCCCCATCCCTCCCCCCTACAAACACAAGCCACCTAATCCTCACACCCAATTACTCCAGATTCTGCGTCGCCCCCCTAGACGTGGTCAAAATCCGCCTCCAGCTCCAAATCCACTCGCTCTCCGACCCTCCCTCGCACCACAATGTAACCGGCCCAATCTACAAGGGGACGCTCTCCACCATGCGCGAAATCATCCGTCAAGAGGGTATAACCGGCCTTTGGAAAGGCAACATCCCAGCGGAACTAATGTACGTCTGCTACGGGGTGATCCAATTCAGCGCATACCGCACAACCACACAAGCGCTCGCCCAACTCGACACCTATCGACTGCCCCCCTCCGTCGAATCATTCGTCGCGGGCGCCACCGCGGGCGGTCTCGCCACGGCATCTACATACCCGCTGGATTTACTGAGGACGCGGTTCGCCGCGCAGGGCACGGAGCGGGTGTACACGTCGCTGATGTCGTCGGTGCGGGATATCGCGCGGAATGAAGGCTACGCGGGGTTCTTTCGCGGGTGTAGTGCGGCTGTGGGGCAGATTGTGCCGTATATGGGACTGTTCTTTGCGACGTATGAGGCGTTGAGGCCGCCGTTGGCGCAGTATCAGGATTTGCCGTTTGGGTCGGGGGATGCGGCGGCGGGGGTGATTGCCAGTGTGTCGTCGAAGACGGTGATGTTTCCGTTGGATTTGATCAGGAAGAGGTTGCAGGTGCAGGGTCCGACGAGGCAGTCATATATTCATCGCAATATTCCTGAATATCAGGGTGTGTTTAATACGATGAGGTTGATTCTGCGGACACAGGGTATCCGCGGACTTTATCGGGGGTTGACGGTCAGCCTGTTCAAGGCTGCCCCTGCCAGTGCGGTGACGATGTGGACCTATGAGACTTCTTTGCGACTTCTCCAGGATATGGAGGTGGCTACGAGCAAGGATGAGTGAGCTTACAGGATCCCGCGCACTCGCAACACCTGATTGTGTATATTATCTGATAGAATACTAGACTTTTCTCTTTTCCACGTGGAATACACTTTCGCGTCCTTTTAAAAGACCGATGAATTCGTGTGCTCATATTCTCCCGCAATGCATGTATCAGTTCATTATTAGGTAAGAGCAGGGGAATCAAACAACGCTAGGGACGCAGGAACAGAAGGGGGTTGTCGCAAGCATTTAGGACGGGGCAGGCACAATTTGACCGGCAAAGTGAGACAGACAGACCAAGAATCGAAGCGACCAAAGCAGTACAAGCCAACAGGGTGTGAAAGGTATCAGTACTCACCCTCCTCACCCTCCGGCTCCAGACTGTCGTTGGCAACTTCTTCATAGTCCTTCTCCAGCGCAGCCAGATCCTCACGAGCTTCGGAGAACTCGCCTTCTTCCATACCCTCGCCCACGTACCAGTGAACGAAGGCGCGCTTCGAGTACATGAGGTCGAATTTGTGGTCAAGACGACCCCACGCCTCAGAAATGGAGGTTGTGTTGGAGAGCATGCTGACGGAGCGGTCGACGGGAGCGAGCTCGGTGTCGGGAACGCGAACGGGCTTCTGGTAGTTGATACCCAACTTGAAGCCGGTAGGGCACCATTCCACAAGATTGAACGAGGCCTTGGCCTTGAGAGAGGCGATGGCCTGAGTGCAGTCACGGGGTACCACGTCACCGCGGTACAGCAGAGCCACTGCCATATACTTGCCCTTGCGAGGATCACACACCACCATCTGATTATTAGGCTCGAAACCTGCAGCCACTGTTAGCAATCCACCCACGCCAACGACTCGACGAAAAAACCACGAAGAGAGGTACTTACACTGGAAGGTGAGATCCTGCACCTTAAAGCTCTCGTGGGAGCTGCGGCTGCTCGAGACCACGGGTGCATACGAAATCAGCGGATAGTGGATACGAGGGAATGGCACCAAGTTAGTCTGGAACTCAGTCAAGTCGACATTGAGGGCGCCATCGAATCGGAGACTTGAGGTGATGGAGCTGACAACCTGGGCGATTAGGCGGTTGAGATGCTCATAGCCAGGACGTGGGATGTCCAAGTTGCGACGACAGATGTCGTAAACCGCCTCATTATCCACCAAGAAGGTGCAGTCAGCATTCTCAATAGTGCTGTGGGTGGAGAGAACAGCGTTGTATGGCTCAACGACGGCGGTCGACACACGAGGGGAAGGGTACACCGCAAACTCGAGCTTCGACTTCTTTCCATAATCGGTGGAAAGACGCTCAAGCAGCAGGGCACCAAATCCGGAGCCGGTACCACCGCCGAAGGAGTGGAAGACCAAGAATCCCTGCAGAGAGTTGCAGTTATCTATAGTGTGTAAGCCTAGTCCCGACAGAGGCAAATTTTAGAGAAATTGGGGTAAACCTACCGGAGACGCGGCGAATGCGGTCGGCAACTGATTCAACGAGCTCCTTTCCGATGGTGTAATGTCCGCGAGCATCTGACGAGCATTAGCTTACATGTTCAGGCCGGATTAAATGAGACGTACAGTTATTGGCGGCGTCTTCCTTTCCGCTGATCAACATTTCAGGGTGGAAGAGCTGACGGTACTGGCCGGTGCGGATCTCATCGACAGGCTGCATCCATCAGTTTAGCATATACATTATATGAAACCATCCATCTGGAAAGGTCGTACCGAGGGATCAAGATCCACGAAGATAGAACGAGGGACATATTTGCCGCTGTGTGTCTCTGTGAAAAAGGTTTCGAACGAACCACCCGAATTAATTGCGTCCTCAGCCTCAGGATTGAGCTGACCATCGGCCTTGAGACCGTGTTCAAGGAGGTACCTGCCGTGATGGTCACAGGTCAGCATGGGGTCAATGACATCTAGATCGGGGTACAATAAAAAGCGGTGAAGACATACAGCTCCCAAGCACTGTTACCAAGCTGGATACCAGCCTGGCCGATGTGGATGTGGCAGACCTGATGGAAAGCAATAGTTAGAATAGAGCAGTCTTAAGCTTCGATTGGGCAGTTGAACGAGTGTCTGTGCGTGAGGTTGTGGAATTGGAGGAGGGTGACGGTGCGGGGGTCCAAAGGTAAATAGAACGGGGGGTATACCTCGCCTCGCATGTTGGAGAATGGGTCCGGTTATCGTTGTAAACAGACGCAAGGGATTCGCTCAGCGGTGTCAGGGTGATGGACTGGGATGATAAGCAGTAGACTTGCAACCCCAGAGGATGATGGAAGAAGAAGAGGGGAAAGAGACGGAGGATGAGGGAGTTTCTGGATCAATAGGATGGAGGATGGAAGGAGAGAGCATCAGTCGTTCTTGCCGGTCCAATAAACAAGACAAGGCGCCTTGGACCAATCAGCTGCCCTTCTGCTCCCGACCGATCAGTCGATCAGCACGTGAATTTGACTAACTCGGTCTGCTTCCTCCCAGTATAACGGACACCAAAAGTTTTGGCGCCTCGATACTTCAGAGGATCATAGAACTACACTCTATCGACCACGGAGTTCTTTCCTTCCTATTCCATGCCTTCTCCGTCATCGCGGAATCCTCTACACTCCACGTGCCTCCTGCCGTGGAATGCGGGGAAACCATCCTTGGGATTCGTGATGTGTGACAGCGGTTTGACCTGCACAGACCAGGGGTAGCTGCGATGCCCCTGCTGGCTTTGCAATACTTATCTGTATAAGGTACACCGTAGATCTACTCAGAGTGGCGAGTAGGATGCTACGGACATCTGATGGAAAGAGATAGTATGGAAATGTTCAGTGTCGATCTTCCCCGCACTCTGCCCCTACCCCATGCCTACTATGCACCCATCTACGCCTACAGATTCTTTAGTTGCACGGGCTAACAAGAGCCGGAGAACAGGCAGGCAGGCAGAATGACTAGTCACGAATGACCCGATCACAGAGTTTGGCTTGTATTGCTGGCGGTATGGAACACTTGAACACTGGCAGGTAGATGGAAGTCAATGCGGCCAAGTTGTTGTTGGAACGGCAAACCGTTGTCGATGGATCCCATTTTATGATTTACAAAAGGACTGAGATGGTCCTTGCGCTTCGATGATTTGAACATCGTAAGCATAATTCATAAGCTTCCATTTACGGTTATCATGGCCTTCCCATCTACCGTGCAGATGACCGCGGCGATCTTCAATGGACATGGCGGGGCAAGACACGTCAACAGCCGGGAGCGGACCTGCCA